AGGGGGGGGGGGACTAATAGAATTAATAGCTAAAGAGAAGAAGGAAAGGTTTATATAATATATTATATAAAGTAAAACTAAAATATACTAAGTAGGGTAGCTATATTTAGATATAAGAATAACCTATATTTATTATAAGGATAATATATATTTAAAAAATATAATAGCCTACTTATATATATATTATTTTGTATCTAACTATATACTAGGTGTGAATTGGGATTTAGCGATAACTCACCTATAGGCTGCCGTAGGCTGCCTAATACAGTGAGTGCTGTGGGGGCCCTTCTACTCGAAAACCGAAAACGCGTCGCAGTTCGCGCCATCACAACCTTGCCGACATCTCGAAGTTCTCAGGCGGTGCCAATAACCGGCCCAGTCAGCTTCACAACATGTCTTTGGGTCATTCTACCGATCATGAATACTCCGTAGACCCGACTCAGCCTCTACATGGCATCACTGTTTGCTGTACCAGCATTTCGACCGAGCAACGGGTTCGGCAGCCGCATCACCTTCTGCATTTCGTTACTAAACTGCTTCTAGACTGAAATCGACCAAAGAGTTGCCGAACTCGGTGGAGTGCATAAATACGATCTTACGCCAGATGTCACACACCTTATCGTCGGCAACTATGATACGCCAAAGTACCGACATGTCGCTCGCGAACGACCCGATATCAAGGCCATGGACGCCGGCTGGATAGATGCGATTGTAACTCTGTGGAAATCCGATGACGATATCAATCTACAAGAACTCGAAGACAAATACAAACTTCGAGCGCTCGACAAATGTGGCCGCGAAGTTGAAGGCCAGGCTACCCCAGAACAGGACTCTCTGCTAGTCTGTCTGACAGGCTTTGGCGACCAGCGTGACCAAATTGCCGAACGCATCACAGCTAACGGAGCTCGATATACCGGTGACCTGACTAGAAAATGCACGCATCTAATTGTCAGTGCACCAGAAGGCAAAAAATTCTCGGCAGCGAGATTGTGGTCCGTTCGAACGGTGACGTTGGCATGGCTCGACCAAAGCATCGAGCGTGGCATGATTCTGGATGAGGCCAAGTTCGATCCGATGCTTCCACCTGATGAACAAGGCAAAGATGCTTGGATAAAGCACCCGCGCAGGAGGTCTTTGGGCAAGCGATCTAGGTCATCCGGCTCGACAACAACCGAAGTGCGCGTTCGGAAGCTACGCAAAACAGCCAGCATGAAACTCAGCTCGCAGCGAAATAATCTCTGGGATAACATTCTAGGTCGCTCTGACTCGAAGGAGTACTCATTCAGCGAACCCCGCGCAGAAGCCGGGGCGATCGTGGCCGAAAAACCGACCCAGCCGGACGGCGTTTTTGCCAACTGCTTATTCTTCATCCACGGCTTCCGGCCCCAACAGACAGATATTTTGGAACAAACAGTAAAATCTCTCGACGGTACAATAGTGTCGTCCCTTGGAGAGGCTATCGCCTTGCAAACGGCAGAACCATGCTGGCGCTTCATGATAGTGCCCCAAAACTCGGAGCCCAGTACCCATCCACAATCTCAAGATACCAACCTACATATCGTCACGGAATTCTATGTTGAACGGTGCTTGCAAAACAAGCAATTTTTCCACCCCGACGACCACGTTCTGGGACGTCCCTTCCCCCTGTTTCCCATTCCCGGCTTCAACTCGTTAGGTATCTGCAGCTCGTCGTTCACTGGACTTGAGCTTAACCAGGTTGCCCGAAGCATAAAGCAGCTGGGTGCGACTTTTGAGGAGAAGTTTCACAGAGACACCAGTCTTCTGGTTTGTCGCTCGATCGAATCTATGCGTAAAGACAAGCTACGATACGCCGTGGAATGGGGCGTACCAATTGTATCCGCAGATTGGCTGTGGGAATGTATTAGCACGGGGTTCAAAGTCCCGCCCGAGGATTATATCTTTCCACAGCTGAGAACACGATACGCAAATATGGGTGTAGAAAAGACTCAGGCTAAGACAGGGCAAGAAAGCGAACCGCCAAAACCACAGCCAAAACCTAGTGCATCGCGGCCTCCTGGAGGGTCCGGGATGGATCCAACCGCATTTGACAGAGACACTCCCGAGAAACCACAGACCAAGATGAGAAGCGCACGACATGAGGAGTCAACAACGTCAGCCGACTTCGTCTCGGCAGTGTCACACCCAGAGCTGACTAGACGGCAAGGCACACCGCTATCGGAACTATCATCAGCATCAGTCAACAAGTCCCCATCTCCAGTCAAAACTTTTAGCACACAGCTCCCACGACACAAGTCGGATCCTGCTGCCAACGCCGAAAACGAAAAGCCGTCGGACAGAGCGCCATCTGCTCCTCCAATTACAAAGCATGATAAAACCTCTGATAGCGGCAAGAAACGGGAAGACGGCAATAAAGCGCACCGAGCAGCTAAATTTGCAGAGCAACTACGATTTGCATCCGATGTTGCGACACTATTGGATCCCGTCAAGGGACAGCCAAATGTGGGGAGGGATATAGACATGCCCGCCGCAGGGACAGCGCCGAGTCACCGTCCGCGCAAACGGCAAATTCTTGGGCGCGCCATCAGCAATGTGTCGAACGCCAGTAGCGGCAGCTTGCCAGCGCCCGAGTCGCTCCGTTCAGCGTCGGGCGTCGGCGCCGAAGCAGAAGAAGACGGATTCGGCGAGGAACAGCAGCCGCCGGCGACGCAGTTGGAGTATGGCGATCGGGATGCGCAGAAGCGCAAGGCCCAGCTTATGAGCCGGATGATGGGGCAGCCTGTCGTGGGCAACGAGCAAGCCGGTGCGCTGACAGAAGGGAGGACGCTAAGGAAGCGAACTTGAGGACAAGGATGCGTCGGATGTGACTTGTACTATACCCAGAAGCCCTGTTGGTCAGTAGACGTGTTGAATGCATTAGGAGACTTGCCTGTTGGTCCGTAGACGTGTCGTATGCAATAGGAGACTTGAAGCAAATAATGTTCAAATTTTATTAAATATTAGCCGATATCTATCAATCTGGCCCAATGCTTCTTTGTTCTCATTGTTCTCGTATTATACAAATTTGAGCAGGCAATGCCCGTCCTGGCAGGCCGCTTCGTATGCAGGATATATGTATGCATCCATCCACCCACCCATCCACTTGATGAAACTTTCCTCGTCACGGCGATATCACGCCTTGACCTTTTCCAACTGCAGGTCATTGATGAGCATGTAGCGACTAAAGGTAATATACAGCCAGCGGAACCAGACCATCTGGCTCTTGTGCGCCGACGTCATGGCGCTCCAGGCCGTCGGCAGAGCGCCGTCGCCCACCAGGCCGCTGAGGAAGACGAGGGCGGGCGGGTGCGCCTTGTCGGGGTTGCGCGCCGACGTGGCGGCCCAGGCGGCGAGGGTAGGGAGCACGTCCAGGACCGAGGTGAACTTGCGGGCGACGTGGACGGAGCGGAGCGTGTAGAGGTCGACGGGGGCGGCCCAGCCAGCGCCGCCGGGCCCGCGCAGCAGCGCGGCGATGAAGCGGCGCGCGCCGTGGAAGAGCGAGCTGTGGTTGGGGTGGGCGGAGACGCCGCCGGCGTCAAAGGTGATGAGCACGTCAATGTTGGCGGCCGGCTGCTGGTCGGCGGCCTTTTGCTTGTGCAGGTTGGGCGCGAAGGCGCTCATGAGAAGGCCCGCAATCTTGGACTCGTCCCAGGTCGCAGTCATGGAGTCGGGAAAGTCGGCGCTGGGGGACCAAGTTAGCGGCGTGGGCAAGGAGGGGATGGCGCAGAGAGGACGCGGGAGGCCAGAGAGGAGGAGGGGTCAACGTACGGGTTATCGACGACAAACACGTCTTCCTCGTCGCGAAGGCCAAGGGTCATGCCGCTCTTGACGAGCTCCTTCTTTCTCGTCTCGCCGAGCCCTTCGGCGTTGCCTACCCAATAGTCATGTAAGTAAGTGTAGTCAAATGTAGTTTCACATCAGACGAGGGACGCATCGCGGGCGGCGGGGGGGGGATGTATGTACCGGAGCTGAGACACAAAATCTTGACGTGGTTGCCGGTTTCGGGGCGCGTGAGGGCCAGAACGGTGGGCGCGAAGAACATGGCTTCATCGTCCGGGTGCGCAATCAGCAGGCAGATGCGCTTGTTGTGCAGCTTGGGGAAGCGTGCGTGGACGATACCGACAGTATACATGTAGAGCATGGGCACCAGGACGGCGACTGAGGCGATGAGGATGAAAATCGGGCCCATGGTGCCGTAGGCTCGGAAGCGTCCGATCGTTGTCGTTCCCCTTTTGTATCGTAAATCTTGTTTGTGCCGGGCCTCTGCGCGATGAAGCAGGTCGTGCGATCGTGTGGGTTCGTGCCGTCGTGAGGGCACGAGGAGGGGTTGGTCTCTGAGCAAACAAGGGTTGCGCGTCGTTGGTCAGGGTAGGGCGTTTGTGGTAGGCTGAAGCAGAAGAGAGCTACTAAGGTACTAAGGTAGGTAGGTAAGTCGGCAATTGTCCTCGGCGACGCGACGCCAACGCAATCCACAACGCGAGCAGGTTCTGTTTGGGGCAGCAGCAAGTTCGTTTGTTCGAGGAGAGGAGGCGGGCAACAAAGAGAGCGGGTGATGCCACCTTGCGATTTCGACAAGGGCTGGTGGTGGTCACCCTGGCCGTTCAAATCTTTTAGCTAGCCCCAGCTTTAATTAACCCAGGTGAGGTCATATGGGGTCGCGCCGGCGGGCTGCGCCGGATCCTGGCTCGGGAGGGGGCTAATTTGATGCAGAGACAAAGGGGGCGAGAAAGAGCAATGGACAGGAGCTTGTTCGACTCGCGACGGGGAATATTTTCTGTATACGGATACATGTCCGCCCTTGCGTCAAGATAGGCGAGACTTGATTGATGGGATGCAGCTTGAAATGCAGGCCAACCACTTGGGCCCACATTTGCGTTTTGGCCTGTTGAAGGTACGGATCATCGCAAGCACATGGAACTACCCAGCGCGTCGCAACATCATGCACACTCGCCCGTCAACCAACGACCTCGTCCTCTTCTAGCCTTGATTGAGGAGCAGCTACCGAAAAGCCGCAGTCTACATTGTCGAGTCCGAACGCAGCGGATCACCTCGTCAATGCTGCCCGAGTTGTATCCGACGTGACAAAGGCAATCTGTCCAGGGTATGAATACGCCGTCGTAATTCCTTCCATCAAGGAGCAGTATATTCAAGTCAAACCCATATGTTCTAATATAACCTCACTCTCTGCAATCTCCAGTCCGAGAATACATGCCCCCGTATATACAATGGCCAGCTGTGCTGCTTTGTATCCCGCTCTGAATGCTCTAAACGGTCGCAAATCCGTCAAGCAGTTGACTCTAAACCTCCGCAGTATTCTTGCTTCTCCGCAACACAAAACCTCTCAACGTTGTCCAGACATCTCTACAAAAACCTACCGGTGCATCGACCGATGACGCTTCGTATGCATCAACGAGAGGAGCCTCCCAGATAAGGTCCACGTCTTTCGCCCTGACAAATGCCGTCTTCTTGGCAACCTTCCAACCAATGAACAAGACAAGAAAAACAATAGGCATACCATAGGCCGTAGCAAAGCCCGCCACGCGGAAGGGAGACAGGGTCCGGTAGCCACTGAATAGAAGGATGGAAATCTCGAGGGCCAGTGCAACCCACGCGCCATACGGCTGAAGCCAGCATCGATATGGTAGCTTGTTTCGATCAAAGTTTTGAGCCTGACAAGCGCGGTTGAAGCAGATCGATGCGATGAGGCCAGTGATGTAATAGATGAGCGTGGCACTCGTGGCGAGGTTAATAAGCCACGTCAGGACAGTAGCAGTTCCGTTGCTCAGCTGAAGAAAAGAGAGGAACGGAAAAGCAATAGTCACAAGGAAGCAATAGATCGGTACCCCCGATTTATTCACCTTGCTTAGGAACTTGGGAGCCCGACCTTCTAAAGAGAGCCCATACAGGCAACGAGTCGCGCTGTAGAGCGCGGTATTGCCCGCGGCAAAAATGGTGACGAGAAACAAGGCTGTAATGATGTGAGGAAGCCCTCTGATGTTGAGATTCTGCATGGCGATGATGAAAGGCGACGCGGCCGCGCCTCCCGCCTGCCCAGTCCCAGCCTGGTAAATCGCCTCTAAGACCTTGTCCTTGGGCGATACGACGATGGTAACAACCAGACAGCCTCCAATGTAAAACAGAATGATGCGCGCAAATAACACCTTGCAGGCCGTCTTGACGTAGGTGCGCGGGTGCTTGACCTCGCCGGCGGCGACGCTGACGAATTCCGGCCCCACGCAGGTGAATGATGCAAACGAGAGCGCGGTGAGAACCCCTTCGAATCTTCCAATCGATCCGGTGCTCATATACTCCAAGAACGGCTCCGGGCTGTGCCAGTTTCGAAATCCGAATGCGTCGCGGTCGGGGTTGCCGCCACACATGACAACGACAGTGAAGACCATGAGCATCATGAGGAGCAGAGTCTTGCCGCTGCAGAGCCAGAATTCGCTGGCGCTATAGACTCGAACGGCAAAGACGTTAATCGCACTATTGAGTCCATCAGTTAGCATTTTTGTAAGTGGTGCATTTGTCTTCTTCTTCTATTTTTTTCTGCGCAGCTTACATGTACAGGATGATGCAAGTAGCGCAGATGGCGGCGGCGGGAATGTCGGGGCTCCAAAAGGACACGACCTGGCTCAAAGCTGTAATCTCAAACGGGACAATCAGGCCGAGGTAGATGTAGAAGTTCCATCCGGCGGCGAACCCAAGGGCGTCGTCCACCCAGTATCCCGCCAGCCGGATGAAGCCGCCGCTGACGGGCATATACGTGGACATTTCCGCCATGGCGCTGTTAATCAGGGCGAGATTGATGCCGTAAATGAGAAACGCGAGGAGCAGGCCGCCTGGGCCGGCCGAGTTGAGAGGACCGCCGATGCTGACGAAAAGCGCGGTTCCGATCCCGCCACTGAGGCCCAGGAGGAACATGGTGGCGATGGACATGTCGCGATGGAGTCCTTCGGCTGATGTGGCGCTCTCCATACAGTCCGTGCCAGAGTCGACGAGGACGACGGTATTCGAGGGCATTGTTTCCTTCTCCTTGGGCACGCATGGAGCGTGCTCCGCCGAGGGTTCATTGTTGGTGGCTTGCCGGTCATCCATCGTGGGTGGACTCTGTGATGAGAGATGTTGGAAGACGGCGATAAGATTGACGAGGAATATGAGACGGGAAGTGTGCGGAGTTGAATCAATGGAGGAATTCGACAGGATGTTGGACAAATTTAATAGTCTTTCATCATCTGGTATTAGACCAGAGTGGTGATCCTGTCATAAGCTTGGCGATGTTGCTAGCCTTGTTCGGCGATGTTGGGGTAATGCTGGGATTTCAATTGGCCTGCTGAGAGCGTGGGGAAAGAGAAACCGGGGGAAAGGAGAGATGGGTTGTTAAGTATGCGTCGATTGCAGAAAAGAACTGTCTCCCCAGCCTCTATCATAATTTAGGTTTGCAGATGGTGTTGACGCGGACATGAGAAGCGCGGCGTAGGCCATTGTTAGCTCCCACAAATGTCAGTCTAGAATATTCCGATTGCATTATATGTAAAGGTAGATAATATTGATAGGATGGAATTTACACTAAATACACCATACCCCGGGAAAATGGGGTTTGGGGCAAAGGTTCAGGTGCGTTATTGCCCACATGGTTTGCTAGTATGATACCAGCCTCTCATTATGAAGCTTAAAATGCTTAAACGCATACCTTGCCGCATATTTTGCTTTCAATATGCGTAGTACAATGCTAATTTTGGTTACTGTCGAGGGCTCTGTCGAGAATATCGCAGAGTTTACCGCCGCCACCACCGCCAAAAGTTCACTTGTTAGATGTACGGGCAGTTCTAGCCACTGCGCAATAGGACCGAAAGGCAAATAAGGCACGTATTACAGCCAAGTTTTCTCGTGCTAACCCGGTAGCCGAAGTCACTTTAGCCGAGTGCTTGGGCGGCGCTTCAAGCTCCTCGGGCGGTGGAAGCGCGTGCGCCCGACTATGACCGCTACCATTGGAAGCCGAAGCCGCCACTGCGGAGAGGTGAATGCGATTTACGGTCGTCGAACGCAAAAACCCAGTGTCTGATAAACCGACCGTCTATAGTTGAATTGAAGAATCCGGAGTGTGGCCAGTGTTTGACCCTGAGACGGAAAACCTGTGGCTAGCTGAGAGGCCTAGTTGACCTTGATCACTCGGCAGGCGACCATGACACACAGAAGCATGAGCCGGGTGAAGTGGCGGATAAGCATAATATTGCAGTTGTAGGCTGAGAGAAACAGACAGAGAATGTTGTCAAGTTGGCTGGCTGACGAGGAGGTATTGTATCTCACCACTGGTGAACTGTACATTTGAAGAAATATATACATATTTGCAGCAACATCTCAAGGCTCATATTTAACTCTCGGTTATCTCGAATATTATCAATCCCTAGTAGTTAAACCAACCCTTGTTCCATTTCCTGATCCTACTTGGGAAATGCCTCCGCTTCTTGGCACCTCTCTGTTCCGCCGCCGAGGTCGCGGGGCTATCAAGACCCAGACGCACCATAATTAAAGGTGTAAAAATTAAGCGTAAATTCCTTGACAAGGAAGCTACCTCGTTAGCTTTCAGCCATCGTTCACCCTTCAAGCCTGCGCTTTGATTATCGCGGTGGAGGCCCGCTGTTGTCCGCTCAGGGCGGACAGGGATCGGGACAATGGCCCGCTTAGGGCGGACAGGGGTCGGGCAAGCAGCCCGATCAGCTCCGGTCTTCGGCCCAGGTCGAGAGCAATGAATTGGCTGACTTGCCAGCAATTGCGACCGAGGAAGAATAACTAGTTATGGGCGTCTTTCCCTGTTCGTTTTTAGACCCGATCGTATCTCGAAATATCCTGTTTCCACAGAGCTTTCAAGACCGTTTCTGCTGCGAATCACCCAATGTTCACGCCGACCAGCGTTACCGTGACTGAAAAGGAAAAACGGCAAGACAGCGCCGCAAATATGAAGCCGAACGCACATTTAGGGAATCCTGTATGGCTTTATTCTCTATGAGTAGGGCGCATTGCACAAGCTGACTTCTTTTTGCAGGCGCCGTTGGCCATGGGTGGTTTTGCCACAACCCTGCTCAGCGTCTCGCTGGCGATGATGAACTTTCGTGGTGTGTCGGTGCAGACCATGTTTGTTGGGAATCTCTGTTTCGTGGCCTGTATTGGCCTGTTGATCAGTGCGCAATGGGCCATGGTGCAAGGCGACACGTTTACATATACTGTGCTGACAGCCTTTGGTATGTGTTGAACGCAATTGGGAGGTCGTCAGCTTACAGATGGACTTGCAGGCCTTTTTTATGGCGGCTATGGCGCTGTCATGATACCTTGGTTCGGGGTAGTGGAAGCGTATGGAGGGTACACGAGCGAGTTCTACAACTCGTTCGGCTTCTTTATTCTCAGTAAGTCGATTGGACGCACTTTGGACTCTAGAGAAGCTAATTTTACGAAGCTTGGGCCATTCTGAACCTATTCTTCTTGATGGCCTCGATTCGCATGTAAGTGAGCCCAGCTTGTTCACAAAAAAAGCGCCGCTCGTGACTAACAATGCCAAGCTCAATTGTCTACATCATGGTATTTGTATGCATAGAACTCTGCTTGGTGGTTGATGCATCATCGCAGTTCGCCAAGGCGGACGGTTATGACATGACATACACAAAAATGCAAAAGGCCGCGGGCGCGTTTGGATTCCTTGCGAGTATCCTAGGTTACTATTCTACTGCGCATTACCTTCTCGCGGACGGATTTGGCTTCCACTTACCTATGGGGGATACATCGGCCAGATTCAAGTCAAGGGCAAACAATACTGCAAAGGATCTGGAGGCATAGATGAACTCGATCGCTGTCTCGACAATGAGCCGGGGCTGAGCACACAAACCTCTGCTCTGAGAGGCGGGAAGCGTCGAATTACAATCTCGTCTATTCAAACCTAAAATCTATTCAAACATAAAAAGATGGTATTAGACGAATGGTACCAACGTATTGCTCAAGATGTTCCGCCTTTTCCTTTTCTGGCACTACTATTTGTGCAGTTGCTCTTAATTCCGTAGTAGCCTGGACGAAGGTAGTTAAAGCAGGTTGTCGACAGCTCCGCCACAGCTATCCACAAGCGCCACAAACTCCAACCTGTCTGTGTCTGTTCCCCTAAAATTACAGCGCTGTTGATTGTTCATCTATTACCACTTCTCCCACCACGTCGCCGCATACAAACCCATCCTGAGCCATCCAATTCACGCAAAGCCACGCGCCGACACACAATGGCACGCTCACGCAAACCGCGCACCACCACGGCCACGACCACCGAACCACCGGCGCTGCCGCTGGCGCAACCCGACCGTTCCGGCCCACGCATCGACGACAAGACGCTCTTCCAAATCGCCGAGCAGCGGCAGCTCTTCCAGCAAGCGGCCGCGCGCGAAAAGCAGCGGCCCAGCAGCGCTTCCGTACACAAGATTCGCATCACCGACGACCAAGACGATTCGGGCTCCGACGATGACGGCGAGGTGCCGACGCTGTCGCCTGGGACGGAGCGCGTCCTCGAGGCCATGCTCTGGACGACGTCGCTCGCCATGCTGCACTTTACCTTTGACGTGCTCGTGCAGCACCAGTACGGCACCGAGATTCTCTGGCGTCCACTCTTCCACCGCACCATCAGTGCCTGGGCCGGTTCGTTCTGCTCTTCCCCTCTTCCTCCTCTCACTGACAGAGGCCTGCAGTCTTCTTGATACTCTTCTACGCGCTGCACCCCCGCCGGGCCGACCAGACGCTCATGCCGGGCCTGCCCGCGCACTGGCAGCAGCCCCTGCGGCAGGCCGTCTTTTTTGGAGTAAGCGTTGTCGCCGGCTGCGGTCTGCTCTATGTGACCAATACGAAGGGCTACCTGGCTACGCAGCGGCGCGCGCCGCCGCTCGGCGTCCTCTGGGTCTGGGCCGTGGTCGAGCTGGAGCTGCCGTGGGCGACGTTGAGCCTGCTCGTGGTGGCGGCGTACATTTATCTGCGCGGATACGGAATTCAATAAATTTCTTTGGTTTCTTTTTTCCCTTGCGGCTACAACACCCGGCTGTCCCGTTGTCGATCTGCGGCCACCCGACCTTCGAGCGCATGCAGACGCGACGCAATCATACCGAGCTGCAGAAACTGCACGCGCGCCGTCAGCGCTTCTCGCTGCCGCACAAGCTCGAGCGCCTTTGTCCGCACGCCCAGCCAGGCCACCGCGATCGACGGCCGGCTGCCGTGCCACGTCCACGGCACCAGTGACCACGAGACGCCCATCCCGCCGTTTGGATCCGCGCGTGACTCCACGTCACTGACCATGTCGAGCAGCCGCTGCTCCAAGTTCAGCAAGTCCTCCATGACGAATGCAAACATCTGCTGATCAACGCGCTGCGCCGTCGGTACCGCATCATCGAGTCCTGCGCGGCGGCGGTGTCGCGGCCACTCTGCGCTGCTACTCTTGTCGTCGGCGCTGCTCTTTTCGTCGGCGCTGCTTGCGTCTGCATCCTCGTCGGCGTTCGCGCGCTGCGTCGGTTGCGTCTCCTGTGTGCGGATGAGGTGTGATAGCCACGTCGACTCCGTCTTGTACCAGGATAAGCTCGTCTTGACGCCTAGGTACTCGGTGCTGCTGCTCTGCAGGTACCGGATGCGCGCGTACACCGTCGCCGCCACGGCAAAGACAAACGTCAGAAGACCGGCCATGTTGGCGGCAATCGACAGCGGCGAGTCTTGGTTGCCATCTTGGTCCATTTCTGGCTTGTATTTTTGTCAATCGCCCGCTTTTTCGGCCTCGTTTCGCTCGATTTTTGGCATTGGTCTGGCCGGCGTAGGGTATAGACAAGGAAACGAGAGTGGTGAGTCGAACAATCGGGGAGGGAGGGTAAATGAGAGGACATGCGAGATTGGCGATGAAATGCACGTCAAATGTGGCGCGAGCTGGATATTAGTGCGGCACTGCACGTGCGGCTGAGGCAGATCGTGTTGAACAGTACTTAAGGTCAAATTCATGCCAGCAAGGTGTGGATCCCGCTTTTGCTGCAACGCGACAGATCGCTGCCAAATGGAATTCTCCTGACAAGCACGCTAAAACAAGGCTATCGCGGGCCGATAAAGGTGCGGGCCGTGTATGTAGATGGACATATTGATTGTGTTTCCCAACAGCCTGCACTGGATCGTACTAGGTCTCTCTGACCGTACACAGAAGTACGCTTCTTGGGGATGAGAACGATGGGTGAGCATGTCGTTCACGACTTTGGGCCTGAGCTCGTCGGTCTGGGAACGCCTGTATGGGACATTCTGGCAACAGCCCTGGCCACTGCACAGTTTACAAGGAAAAATCGAAGAAGTCTTTGGTCAATGAAATGAAAAGACATTTTGATGGCTGCTAGCGAGGACTATGTACATCTGTACAGAGCACCCCCCCCCCCTCATGTCCAGTATTTTCTACCCGTTTGTCATCCACCGGCCAAAGAGTCACACCGAGCTGCCCATCTTCGCTCTTACAATAACTTGCGTAAAAGAGCGTCTTCTCTATGCTTCATAACACACTGCTCGGACCTATCACTATGAGCCCTACAGATCAAGACACCTTTTTCTATTACGGAGATGGCGTGGGATCCGAAGCCCTTGCGCGATACACAGCCCAAGGATTCCACCCCGTTCTTCTTGGCGACATCCTGCCCAAGTTGGGTACCTGCGTAGACGACCGACAGAAACAGCCGAGATATCGGATTGCGCAAAAGCTTGGACATGGCGCGTTCTCGACCGTTTGGCTTGCTCGTGATCTCAGTCAAGAGTATGCATGAGGCCCCGTCGTGTGGACAGGAACCATTTATTAACAAGAAGTTGTTGAAACAGGAGATTCGTTGCGGTGAAGATTTGTCAAGGATCCAATCAAGCCATCCAGAGTAATGAAACAATCATTCTGCGGCAACTGCAGCAGGCTGGGCGGGAGAATCCCGGGCAGAACAACATTATTGAGGTCTTTGATATTTTCACAATTCAAGGCCCGAACGGGTTCCACGAGTGCATAGTCATGGAAGTCGTTGTGCCATTCGATGATGCACCTATTCGGCGGAAATACTCAGCTTGTACGATTATTGGGCAAGTATTGAGGGGGGTTGACTTTTTACACAACCAGGGACTAGTACACGGAGGTGAGCGTTCACGACGCATCACTGCGTTGCTTGGTTGCGTTTGGATGTTATAGCTAACAGGGGATATGTAGACCCTCATTACGCCAACTTTGGTATCGCAATACCACAGCTGCAACAATTTGACGAAGAGGAAATCGCAGATTACTTTGCAGCGCCTGTAGTCATGCCCGTAGTGCCGAGGGATCCTTTGTTTCCCAGAGACTCCGTACCCAGTTATCTAACGGAAACTGTCTCTCTCGGCTCCTTTCTTCAAGATCAGCAGTGTTTTCCCTCTGATGACCAAGTCTGTGTCAAGATCCTGGACTTTGGACGAGGTAGGCCATCATCACACGATATACTACCAGAGTACTGATGCTCATCACCTACGTTAGCCCACTGGACAGACAAGGTTCCGAGAGAATTGCCAGGCGCTGCCCCTCCTACCATACGGCCGCCCGAAGTGTACATGCATGAGTTATCCGACGGCAAGGTGGGATCTGTCTGGAGTAAAGCGGCGGACGTCTGGGCCATTGGCTGCATCGTAAGCTTCAAGGTCGACGTTTATGCGAGACCACATGCTAACTGACCTGACAAAGCTATATCTGATCAACGCCGGGTGCCAGCTTCTGTTGGTGCAAGGCGACTCGCAATATCAGCTCTACAAAGCTTTGCAGCTAGGCGGGGCCCCGCCGAAAGACTGGTCAGAGTATTGGGACTTGGAAAAGTTCTGCGAGAGTACCAGGGATCGGAAAAATCCTATGGTGCCGTCTTTTGATATAGATGGGGCCTGGGATTCTCGAAGGCCCATGTCGGGCCTGAAGGATGAGGATGTCCTTGACATCATTCGGCAGATGGTGGTAACAGATCCTACGAAACGAATGCAGCTGGCCATCGCACTTCAGCATGCAATTTTTTCTCCTCAAAGTGGCACAGACCAAGAGGATTAATGTATTGGTGCTGCCACGACGGGTACACATAAATACATGATCTACACTGTCACGGCTGGCCTGACTCACTGTCTACTGTCACCGTCGTTGAACGGCCAGGACCGGGCGCAACACAGGAAAGGGGAGCACAGAGTTCATCTCATCTCACATGTCATCAATCAATATCTATTATGGCTATTGTTCCTGCTATATTCCCGCAACGCAATAAGCACAACTGAGTGCTGGTAGGTGAAAATGTCGTGTAAACCATGTCGTCTTCCTAAAACGTAAACCATAGAAACAATCATGTACCCAAAATCTAATATATGCAGAATATGTATGCCGCTGTAACAAATAACGAAAAAAAAAAAAGAGAACAATTTTGACTCCGCTGTTCAAGAGTACAAGCATGTGCCCACGGCCAGTCATCAACACCATCATCAGCGTCTGCTTGGCTCGGCAAAGCGAATACCGCGACGCGTAGGCGGCACCCGCTCGCCACCCTCATCTTCCGAGTCGCTGTCGCCATCGCCGTCGTCGCCCATACCAAGGGCAGCTTCGCGACGACGACGCTCGGCCGGTGTCTCGCCCGCATCACCTCGGGCAGCCGGATCGTCGCTTCGCTCACTTTGCTGACTGAGGACGGCGAGACGGCGGCGTCTCTCGACAGGGGTCTCGTGCGATTCTTCCAGAGGCGGCGAGGGCGGCGTCTCTTTAACAGCAGCGCGGCCGCGGGCGCTTGACTCGTCGGAGCGCTTTCCACGTTCGCTACTTTCGGCGCGCGTCTCAATGATGCGTGGGACGGGGCGGCTGGCGGTAGGCGGCACATAGCTGGGGTTGCGCTTAGCAACCTCCTTGATAGGCCGCGACGCCGTAGACTGCTCTGCGACCTCTTTGCGCGTGTGGGCATCGAGCTTTTGCACCTCCTTGATGAAGTCTTCTTTGTTCATACGTTGACCGACGCCGCGAATTGTGAAGCGAACGTTGCGGTCGTCGTCGTTTTCCTGTGTTTCGCTGGGCGCGGTGCCCGTCATGCGGCGGACGGCGGTCCATCTCGACTTGGACGGCGTGGCTTCGTCGTCGTCGTCGGTACGGGCTTCCTCAGCAGCTGCTTGTGTGTCCTTTTCGTTCTGGCGTGCCAAGGCGCCAAGGCCGAGATACTTAAGGCTCGAGCCTAGGACAGCACTAGAGTCCTGACCGGATTTGGATGACGGCAGCTGGTACGTCTTGACGACTTCGCCGTCTGCATCTTCAACGATAATCTACGGGGGTTAGCTGTAATTCGGAAGGGTACGACGGGGTACATACTTGATTACCGAACTGGTACGCGTGGGCCGGTTCGTGGGTGCGAGTTTGCTTGGACCTATCCTTGCGCTTCTCAACCTCTTGGCTGTACATGTTGTTGATGCGACGGCGCCAGGCAGCAATGGTCCAATTTCCATCTCCAGGCTGTGCAGCGGTGCCCGGTTCCTGAGACTCCTCTTCTGGGCTCGGAACGGCATCGAGGTCGACCGTATCAATGACTTCGCCCTGCTGATCCTCAAAGACGAGGTGATGACCTTCTTCGTAAATGTTGACGCGGTGAGGCGAGGTGGGACTCTCGTCATCGTCATTGGGGTGTTGGCGTTGATCGTGGAGCTGCTCCGGCTGCTCCGGCTTCTCCTTACTGTTGTCAGTGAGGGTCGAGTCGGTGGTGGGCTGGCTGGTATTTGCCTGCTCGTCCGTGGGGGACATGGACTGGCGGTTAGGGAAAATAGCGGATTGGGACACGGGACCGCCGGGACCAATGCCGTCGTCCCACTTCTTGTGCTTGCGCTTGCGGGAGACGAGGGAGGCGGTACGGCTGCCGGGTCGGCTGTGGTCCTCTTCCCTCTGGCGACGGAGAAAGCCTCCGGTAGGGGCAAGAGTGCCAGCAGGGTATTGGGGATCCTTGAGATCGAACGAGGCCTCAGACATGGTCTTGGCCTGGGAGCGAGACTGCGACGAGATTCGAGGCAAACGGTTCATCCAAGAAGGACCCTCTTCTGGGGCGGTGGTATACGACATGGTCAGTGAGAGTGTATTGATCCGCTTGCCGAGGGTAAAAACGGCGATGGAAGAGCCGTGGACCAGAATGGAGGAAATGACGAGGAAGGTGACAATCGGCCAGACCAGGTAGATCAATGCATAATTTTCCACACCGGAATCTGGCAGTTCGGACAGGGGGACGGGCTCTCCGTGTTCGAGCTCGGCGCGGGCGAGAATGGCGACAAAGATGGCACCGACGCCTATGGGGCCGAAATGGCCGGCAAAGAGTGCTTCGCGCCAATTTCGAACGTCGGGTATAAACGGTTTCAGAGCCAACATGATGGGGATGCGGCGGAAGAGGAGGACGAAGATGGCGATGACGACGAGGCGCCAGGCGACGACGCCAAAATAGCCAGAGTTGTACTGCTCCCAGGGGATGATGGTGCCAAAGTAGACAAAGTAGGCCAGGTTGATGAGCAGGTCGATGACGTTGGATACATGGGACTCTTCCGTCTTTTCGCCGAACCAGCCGTCGTTGGAGAAGCCGACGCCAGCGGCGAAGCCAACGAGCAGGTCGTCGACACCGAGGATACTACCCGAGCCGGCGCAAAAGAGAGCGACGACAAAGTAGAAGACGAGGAAACTCTCGCGGTCAATGAGGTCGTACTTTTCGGCGATGCGGATGCCATGGCGAGCAATGTAGCCTATCATAAAGCCGTATATGGCACCAAAGATGCATTCGTAGAGGACGACGTAGACAATGAAGTGGAAGCTGACCTCGCCGGCGTCGCGGTGGTATTGGATCAAGTAGAGAGACAGGTAGATGAAGGGAAAGGCCATGCCGTCATTGCAGCCAGACTCTGCGGAGAGGAGATCCCTAAGATGCTTGGGAACGCGCTTGGCGAACTTACCCTTACCAACGACGGAGGAAGCAAGGACGGGATCGGTGGCGGTGACGCAGGCGGCGACAACGAGGGAGTCGAGCCAGGAGAGGGCGGGCACCATCCACCAGATGACGAGAGAGGTGATGAGCCAGCCGGCCGTCATGACGGGGATGAGGAGGAAGATGACGGATTTCCAGTGACGTTCCATATAGTACTTGGGCAGCTCAACACCGACGGCGAAGCACTGGACGACGAGGACAATACGGGAGAATTCGACGGTGACGATGTCGACGGAGCCCCATTCGTTGGGGTTGATGAGGTTGGCGGCATGGGGCCCGAAGATGACACCACAGAGAGTAGCGACGGTGGCCTCGCCAATGTACATGCGCTCCTTGATGAAGGAGGAGCAGAGCATGAAGAGGGAGGTGAAGCCGCCGAGGATGATGTAGACCAAGTGCGGCTTGGTGATGTCGAGGTGTGACCAGGCCATGGTGAGAGTCGGGGGCCGGTGGCCGCAGGACAGGAACTAGGTGCGCGTCGAAGAAGGAGGCGTATGAGCGATTGATTTATTGTCTCTTGGAACCAAGTTTAGAAGGTAAAGCCAAGAATGGGCGCGGCAATGCGGCGGTTGAATAACCGGGCTTGGCCAGAGCACCGCAGTCGAGGGAACGAGAGCCAACGGAGCAGCGAGCGGGAGACATGCGTCGAGAGGCGCGTCGAGGAGGATCGAATGCTGCCAATGGGGGGCAAGATGAGGCGTCGAGGCAAGGATGGATGGAAGAAGTCCAAGTAGGTAGTAGAGATAGACCAGCGGAGGACAAGTTAAAAGAGGAAGCAAGTTGGGGCGACAGCTGGAGGAGTCCGAGTAAAAGAAAAACAAGACGACTAGGTTGAGATTGAAAGCCAAGCCAAACAGCGCTGACTAGTGGTGGACAAGGGGGAGATGGGTAGAGTTTTGGTGGCGGCGCAATCGAAGGGGGGTGGGCGTTGTGATAAGATGATGCCGCGAAGCGAGAGAGAGAGAGGTGGGAGGGACGAGGATGACGTGCCGAGCACCGGAGACGCGGCGCGGCGGAGGGGCGGGTTTCGTGAGAGGAGGTGGTGATTGAGTAGCCAAATTGAAGGATGGATTGAATATAGTTGGATGGTCAAGGAAGAGGCGGAAGAAGAGAAATTGAGTATTGCCAAGAGGATGGGGCGGGGGGAGGATATGACAGAAAAAGTCAAGAGGAAAGAGAAGAGAGAAAAAAAAAAGGTTGATATGGTATGCCAATCAGAGGCGACATGGAGATGGGCTGGCTGTATGATTTGTTTGGAGAAGAACCAAGATAAGTGGGCCCGCTTCGGTACCTGGAAGAGTGAGTTTACAGGCGTGCATATGGACTTGTTAGCGCAGGCCAAAGCCTGCGAGGCAACAAAAGACAGGCAGGGATTGGCTGGCGTCAGGAAAACCTCAGTGCGTGCAATGCCTGTCCCAGCGCATCAGCCGTCTCCACAAACTGCCCATTGGTCCATTATTGCCGCTGTTATTCGCTGCAGTCTGGCCGCAATACAGGAATAACAGCTCGTCTTATCCCCCAGCTAGCAGCTCTTGGCTGGTGCCAACTATTGGGCTAATTCGCATAATTCGGCCTGATTAACTGCACGGATGCTCGACCAAGAGCAAAGACAATCAATGGGAACTAGGTACCTACCCAGGTAGTAGTCAGTGTCTTGGATCCCTCGGTGTTGCAGATTCTCGACAGGTCACACCTTTGGATTTCCCCAAGTCCCATCGCCGCCCTGTGTTCGCTGTTGTCTCACAGGCGCACAGGGTCGCTGCAACGCAACAGAGACACTGCAGCCTCATCAGCCTCATCCCGCCAACCAGTCATCTACCTTGCCATTGCTGACCAGTGACCGTGAGTTATTCGTACTGACGCGCACTTGCCACTTGCCACACCGCCGCAGACTGTCCCGCCACGTCCCGCCACATGCCTTCCAACCCGACGTCACACACGAGAGCTTCAAGTTAGCAGTATGAAGGAAGCAACAAATGCATCTCTCCCGAGCCAAGACCTCTACGACGAATACCGCTTCTTCTCTCCCACATTCCACCCCTCTTGCCCCTCCAGCTCACACAATCACAATCACCCTCCAATATCTTGGCCAACCCCGCGCAACATAATTTTGTTAATCAAAAGTTGCTCTTCGTAGCATTGAGCCACTCGCGCCGACTTTCTCCGCCACGCCAACTTTATGCTTATCCTGTCCCTCAGTGGAGCCAACTAGCACTTCCCGCTACCAGTCGACCAAAACCAACCATCACCATCCTCAGCCAATCGCCACATCTCCATATTCACATATTCACACCGCGTCCATCTCAGCGTCTTCTTGGCCTCGAGATTTCTGCCCAATTTTCCCCTTCTCGGCATCGGCCATCTCGCCAAGTACCAAGAGCTGCCTCCCGTGGCCAAGACCGCCGCCCGCCTATACAGACCCTGTCCCGCCAAGGGCATCTGTAGCCTCCACCGTGGACCTAGCACCACTTGGCAGCCCACGACCGATCGACACTCTTTATGCACCTCGAATCATGTGTGTCGGCTACGGTTTTCCTTGGGGGTGCGTTTTTTTTTTTCAGTTTCTTCAGCAATATTTCCCTTTCATTCCCATGAAAACGCGCAGAGCTAACACGGACCATGACGTCCCGCCAATTTCGTTCCACAAGTCCTTTTTGCTCCGACGTCTCACTAGATGAACTGACTCATCGTACGCCAATACATGCTCGCATCTCTTCCATGGCAGTCATCGGCGTCACGGGCGGCACCTGCTCAGCTCCCCTTGGCGCTGAACTCGTGGCCGACTCATTACGCTGTCGAGGCCTCCATCTTCGCCCAACTCGACAAGAATAGCGACGTGGCTTCCCTGCCGCCGTACAGCTACGGCCTTGTTCCGTAGCCCGGTCAGCTTCCGGGCCACCAAGTGGGGCCGAGTCCTTGTGCTTCGACCGCGCGGCATCCGGCAGCATCCTCCCCGTCCCTTGGCTCCGTGCTTTGGTCGCCAGCCGCAGCAGCCGCGGCAGCCCAGCTCTGAATTATCGTCAGGCTATCAGCTGAGAGCCACAGCTGTCCGTCAGCCCAGCCGAGAGGAACCCGTAAAGCCTCAAATCAGCAAAATCACGAATGGCGTCGGCAACAACGCCGCACTATGCAGATCGGGCTATTGCGACCCGTCCGCTTCGCCTGGGCTCTGTGGCGGTGTGCGTCCGGCCCCGGGCATCGCTCTTCAGCCGCTGCGCCTACCCTGCATCGTCAGACGACGCTATTTTCTTCAAACGTGGCACTTCTGCCACTACAAACTCAGTCACTCACTCGCTTGTAACCGCATCACCGGGAAGACTTGTCAATAGATCAAAACGTAGTATTACAATATCAAAATCATACAGTCCACCGCTCAAATTATGACAGAATATATACCACTAGCTATGTCGTGTCTGCTCCCATGCCCAAGTGTTAGTGTGAGCTGCTGTTCAAACGCCGGCCACCCAACGCCAAATGCCCCCAAAAGTTTCGTGTCCAATTAACGTGCAAGTAATAATCATGCAAGACAAATCGCAAATACAATTGCCAATAAACCCCAGATGTAGGGCCCCATTTTTACCGAAGTGTTGGGGACGTTGGCAAACGGATCTCCTGCACCCAGTTCCGGATCTCGAGTCGGCTTTGCCGTCTTAGCCGCAAAGGTAGTGGTGCTGCGCGACGTAGTACTATCGGCAGTTGTGGTTGTTTCTTGCGAGAAATTTGATGTTGTAGAAATGGTTTCCGTGTCCGTCTCTGCCTCTGATTCGGTACTCGAGCTTGAAGGAGGCACCGTTAAGCTGATTGTGATTTGTGTTGTGGATGTAGTCGTTGACGCGGTCGTCGATGTAGGGGTTGATGCGGTCGTCGACGTAGCCGTTGGGGCGGTCGTTGATATCCTGGCCGTGGATGTCGTCGTTTCGGAAGATGTTACCGAAGAAGTTGGAATAACAGTCGGAAATATTAAAGTGATTGAAACTGCCGAACTCGACGAACGCGTCGGTTGTGACTGCGAACGAGTTGACGTCTGCTGTGGCGGCTGACTCTTGCATACAGCATTCACCAGATTCCCCCTTTGCGCCTCCCATATGAGTGAGTTTGGCTGAGCGTCCACCGTGTCGCACGAAGCTCGAATATTATACTGCACGCGGAGCAGCCCTCGTTGGCAGTTCAATGAGCATTGTCCGCTAGTAAAGTCGGTAATTTCGCATCCGGTAAGAGGTGTATTGTAGGCGAAAATGCAGCTGAGAGGCACCGCGAATGACGCTATCATCTCGACGGCCGAAAGTGTGAGAACCATACTCTCTGCGGCCGTGGCCCAATAAGCCACGGCGACGACAGAAGCGACCGCCCGTCTCATTGTGTCGCGGCTCCAATCGCAAAGTGACGAGGTGTTCTGCGAGTCGGGAACAGAAAACGTGTCCAGATACCGTCTTGTGGTATTGTTTATCAAATCCAAAAAAAAAAATCCTATCAAGAACCTCCGGGCGTGATATTCATCGGCGAAACAGTTATGGTTCGTGATGTCGACTCGAAACGGTGGCTGTTACAGAAGCGTAGATTACACGCTAGCTATCGCGACGCAGGTGACCTTTGACCGTGAAAAAGGAAAAATCTGTTTTGAACTGATTATTAGCTCCGAAAATCAAATATGCCCGTGGTCTGGGCTATGTGTACCTGTCTTGACGAATCCCTGTTTCGTCGTCACGGGTTTGATGATGGGCAATGTTTGCTCTCGCAGTCGCTGTGGCGGCCAATATGTGCAGAGTGTAGGCAGTGCGATTTCAGTGTACCAGACTGGGACAAATTTTGGATGGCAGAATGGAAATCTTTTTGTTGGTAGCTTGGAGGGATTGACAAATTAAGTAGAGTCGAGCGAGGGCAGCTCGCCTGCTGGAGAGCCTGGGGGGCATGGCGGCAGGAGCATTGGCAAGAGGGTGAAACAGCGGACAAGCCAGCGTCAGCTCCCTTCCCGGGACCGCCTGGAAGGGAAGAGGGATATCAAACATGAAAAATGTACTTAATTACCAATAGATGACGATGCGCTACATGGCCTGCCTTGGGCCTCGCATGAAATGCCAGGGATCGCCAGAAGCGTCCACAGGTGATGCAAGTCCCGAAGGCTGGCAGCCTTGTCAGTTGGCTGACGGGCGGAGTTGCGAGACAAATTGATCAAATTGATTGGATCGCATGGCTCTGATGCAGACATTTAGCATTTTTTGGGTGTCGAAAACGAAACAGCTTGGTGTTTGGGAATGGATGAAGTAAGTTGAGAATGGGTGGCTGTTATTGGCCGGCTTGGCGCCAGGAGGCATCCTGACTGCTGGCACCACGCCGGTGACAGAGTATGCCCCGATTGGTGCTCAAAAACGTGCAAGCAAGGATGCTGGATGGTTTCGGAGCATTTTTGTAGCTCGGGCAATTACTCCGATGTGTAGCAATGGGACTGAGTGACGCCGCTACCGGCCTGACACAAGCACTCCAGTCTCCGTCGTGTGTGGCGGCAAGCAAGTGAATGCCAGACCTACTACTCTGTACTTCGAAAACGGCATATGCAATTCCAGAATGAACTCGAGGCCTCGGTTATGTGAATAAATATCCGAGGCTGTCGCCCGAGACTGAGGAAGCTGACTCTTCGTGTTCAAGTGACACAACAGCACGCCCCCTCGGGTTTGGCCTACTTACGGTGCAGCCGCGATGTAGTTACATCGAGGGCCGAGCTCGTTGGGCAAGTTTTCCTGCCTGACTTCTGAGTATACCATCGTTGTTCTCGGCCGCATCTGCTTTAATTTTCATTGAGAAACTCTATACAGAGGAATCGCCGACATGGTTCTCATCAAAGCAGTGGCCCTTTTCGCTGTCGCAATCTCATTTGCCTCTGGGCATGGAGCACTGCGAGCGGAAACGAACAAGGACAAAGCTGATAATCGTGGTAACCCGCTCACCGACGAATTTGGGCGCTATGTGAAGAACCTCATGGATGAGTGGAAGGTGCTAGGACTGTCTGTGGCTGTCATTGACGACGACCAGGTGTACACACAGGTATGAGCACGCGCCGGTGACCAACTATGCACTTTTCTCTAAAGAGATGGCCAAAAGGGTTACGGACTCGCCATTCTTCCGGACACACCCGTCAAACCTGATACACTCTTCCTCGGAGGGTCAACCACCAAAGCACACGTGGGTGCTGCTCTCGCCCACCTGATATCTACCGGAGAGGCCAAAGCTGCTTTTCCTCAAGGCTGGTTGACGCCCATGTCCTTCATCATCAGAGACGACTTTGCTCTTCAGGATGAGTGGGCGACGGCGCACATTACGCTGGACGATGCTGCCAGTCATCGAACCGGGCTACCACGACATGATGGTGCCTTGATTGGCGCGGCCGAACCCAACGATACTACCAGCACACACCAGACAAACAAGGCGACGGTTAGGAACTTGCGTAATCTGCCGCCCACGGCCGAGCCTCGTGTGACCTTTCAGTACTGCAACTTCATGTACATTGCGCTGTCGCACGTCATCGAGACGGTGACTGGGTCGTGGCTTGGGGACGTGCTGCGGAGGGTCATCTGGCAACCTCTGGACATGCAGTCGACCTTTCTGTATTACGGTGACGCGAGAAACAGCGGCCTTGAAATAGCCACGGGGTATTTCTGGGACGATGAAGCCGGCCAATACGTTGCAGTGGAAACGGACCCCATCCAGTTTACCAGCGGCGCGGGCGCCATCATCACCAACGCACTCGACTACAGCAAGTGGGTGAAGTGCCTGATGCACGAAACGGCGCCGTTTTCAGCCGCCACACATCGGGATATCAGGACGGCGCGCATGCTCGAGGTGGCGCTCGCGTCGGACGCCTGGGGCGTGAGCAACTACGGCCTCGGGTGGGAAATCACGACGTTCCACGGCGAGGTCGTTTACAGGCACGATGGCGGGACGCAAGTGTTTGGCACCAACGTAGTTTGGATGCCCGGTATCAAATTTGGCGTGGTGGCCTTTTCCAACTCTGGCGACACGGGCAACGTGGTCGAGGACCTTTTCACGCAGAAGCTTGTTGAAGACCGGCTTGGTATCCCGCTTCAAGACCGCCACGACTACAACCAAGAGTATGTGCATCGGATAGTATCCAAGGGGTCTACGCTAACATGGGTCACTCGTGCTATTGTAGGACAAAGCAGGCGGTGGAGCAGTTGAAGCGAGACTTTTTCAATGCCACCAATCTTCTGTACCCCAACCACGGGACTGATCCGCCGTCCTTTGTGGTCGACTATGAGGTGTTGGCGGGGACATATAGCGACCCCGGCTATGGCGCATATACGTTTACGGCAGAAAAGGCAACCATCACGGCCCACGCAGCCGCGGGAAAGGAGCTGCCGGCGCAGCAGCTCGTGGCCACGCGCGAGGACTTGCTGGTCCCGTCGCGATTGGTTCTGCGCCATGTGGTGGGTGACTACTGGGTCGCCTATCTGGTGCCGGTTCTCGGGTCAGAATTATCGCGAGCCTTTTATGCGGCCAAGTTCATCCGAGGTGTGGATGGTAAGCCGAGCGGTCTCGAGGTGACCTGGAAAGAGGGGACGGACCGGCTCGCCGCGATTGTCACCCGTTTTGAGCGGGTGGGCTGAGTTGGGGTATAAGTGTGAGTGTGGCGGGTTGCACGGGGTTGGGATGACGTATGGCGTGTGTGACTGCGGGGAACAGGGAAGGGTATAAGATGTAATGGCTGACTACTGCTTGCTCGTGATAAGGAGAATATGCTCTCTTTATTACCTACCTAGGCTTTGTTGGGGATGAAAGAAAGGAGGTAGGTACCTATGTACAAATTAGGTATGTACTTATATCGTCAACACAGGCGGAAATGACCAGACACGGCTCGCTAAAAAACGGGGGCTGCAGCGCCTGCCCCATCTGGAGAAGTCTGCACATCAGTCACATCAGTCACCGCCGCCACAACTGCGCGCCTGCCCAGCTCATGCACAGTATGGCTTCATGCTGCCTGGTAAGGTGATTGTAGATGTTGCGTCGGCTCACTTCATTGCACGGTACAAATTAGTTGTGCGAGAATGGTAGCTACGCTGTGAGCTGCACCTGTGGTGATGTTGCTCAGCAGATGTCTAACTACGGCGTCCAGGGTCCCACGCTGGACTGGCTGTACTGGCTGTACCAGGGGAACAACGACCAGTACCTACTAACCTACCTCTACATACATTAGTAGGTAGATATGCTGCCACCGTCTTGCTCACGTTATTATACTTGCTTTGTCCTGGGCTTGCTCAGACAGAGACCGCGTTGGTGCCCGACAGGAGAGAGAGCGCGAGCACACGCCATCACGTAGAATGTCACTGTTGCGGGACGCCACGTCCGACATTTCCCAGCCTGCTGCTACCTTGTTGTGCCACGATAATGGATAATACCATCCATCGGCGCATTGCCCCTCGTATCCGGGGTCGCCAAGTCGAGGGTGCTGATTGTACTACGAGTACTACAATACCGCGATACTGCAATACTGAAATACGAAACGACCGAAAAACTGAAATACTGCAATAGTCGAGCGGCCAACAAGGCAAATCACGGTTGCAGTGCTTTGGGCGACGCGGCGTTGCAGCTATTGCCATCTCCACCCAAGCCCCCAATCAATCTCGTCTTTTTGTGTGTCACTTGAGAGGCAGCCGCAGCAGCGCACGCAGGGCATGATTTGGTTCACGGACGGGAAGGGGGGGGGCTCTGTGCTGGTTGGCAGGTTATACATATAAATATAGACCCTAGGTACATGGCAAAAGCGTGCCTACCTAGGGAAAAACGTCACGCGCCCTCTCTATTTTGTCTTTGAATGTCGCCGCCACCCACACAATATCTCCGTCAGCGCTGGCCTTGTTGTGATTTAAGATAATTCACGAGAGGCCTGGCCCCCCCCGTGAACGTGAAAGCAGAAGCAAGAGCAGCAGACAAACCCTCGCCGGGCTCTCTCTAGTTCCCTCTCATCCCTCCGACCAACCATGTCGGCGCCGGCTGACGAGGCCAGTCGCACCGCGCAAGAGCAGCTCCGACAGTTGACCGCGCCGCATGCCGAGTATCCCGGCCGCCGCATCCCGCCGCTGCACCTCGACGTCAACGCGCTCTACGTGGTGCTGAGCACGCAGAGCGCCGGCAACGCCTGCCACTGGGTGCTGTACCTGCACATCAGCCCCCGGCGCGGCTGGGCCTTCCACATCACCAACCTGGCCTCGCCGCACTGGGAGTACCGCTGCGACGAGGCCTGCGACGACATGGCCGCCTCCCAGACCGTCGTCGCCGCCGTCAAGGTCGCCGCCGACCTGGTCCCCGAGATGCACGACGCCCTGCGCGCCCGCCTCGGCCGCGACGCCCGCCCCGTCGTCCGCCTCGAGGACACCCCGCGCTTCGGCCGCCTCACCTGCCGCACCTGGCTGCTCCAGGCCCTCTACGAGCTGGACAACGAAGGCTACATTAGTGTGCTGCCGGGCTACGCCGTCCACGACGTCGCCGAGGAGGCCGCCTCCCTGGCCGCCGCCAACCAGTCCCTGCTGCAGGACAAAAGGGCCAGCCTGGAGGCGCTGCGTAGGGAGATCGATAGTGCCTGCTGTGCGCTGTAGTCATCTTTCTTGCCTTGAATAAAAGTTATCCGAGTTGTACCGCTGCCAGCGCTCTGCTTGTTGTATCAGCCGCTAGAGTTTTAGATGTGACGACCGGGCCTGATGCGCGCGCAACATCTATTGTTTTTTTCGCCCTCGTTATTGTCTCTCTTTACTTCCCTCTTATTTGCGTCAATACGGATTTGTTTCCAGAGAATGTGTCGCGTGAAATTCTCCATCGCGTCCAACAGCATGGGCTGCCTTGCGCTGGCTGAAGCATAACTGGTACAGGGTACGTACTAAAACTGTGCAGCTTTTCGAAATACTCTCGGCGCTCAGATGACAAAAAGAAATATAAAAGCTCTTGATCTAGCTATATGATTCATACCTCACAATGTGCAGAAGCACCGCAATGTCTTACTTCAGCTAGTCACAACTGGCCACGGCGCCAGGTCAGCCAAACAGGCAGGTGATAAGCCGCAGGCCCAATCGCGCATCACCAAGCTGTCGAATCAGAAATGAGAGCCAGCGAGCCTTGTCCCCGTTGTGCCGGGCATCTTACCCGTAATAGAGATTGAAAGCTTTTGAACTTGGGCGATCTTATGCGTCTGCTAGCTGAATTCAGGCCACGCCGCGCCCTCATCCCCACCAAGACCTCGTTCCCTTTTCTTCGCTGACCCATGAAAGTCGGTTCTGCTTCTTCACACGCTCCGATACTCCCAATCTTCGGTCCGTGGAAGCATTCGATTGCTTGGGGTCAAGCTGTACATCTGTAGACCTTTGCACGGAGCAAGGGATTCCACATCATGGACACAATATATGCGTACAGCAATCGCGCCGCTCTTCATGACCTTTTCAGTCACGCGCGCCATGGCGATGGTCGGTAAGAATAGAAATTGTGCGAGTCAAACATTGCGCTGGTAGTAATAACCTCACTCTAGCGACCCTGCCTGGGTCCAAACTATCGTCGCCCTAGGACGGCATGGCGCTGTCCAAATCGCCATCACTTCTGCTTCACTCTTGTGGGCAATCGCTCGAACCATCAAAATACGACACGATGGCTTAGGAAAAGCTGTTCCCTACAAGCCAAAGGGCACCTTTCTCTACGAAGCGCTTGGCCACCTCCTCCGGGGAGTCTCTCTGGCACTGTTCCTTGTCGCTGGCAGTCACAATGGCAGGCAATGGTCCAATGCCATTGCGGTTGGATACCTGTTTCTCCTAGGATTGTTTCGGATCCTTGTGAGGGGAGCGACCAGGCCCATGCTGCTTCACCAAATCGCCCTCGTTTCTACTGTCACACTTGTTTTGACTGCCGCAGCCGATCTTTTGCCCCTCATTGTATTAAAATCGACCTATCGACCAGACGTTATTGTATCCTTGTCAATTGCATCGCTGGCATCTACAGTACTCGTCTTGGGGTTCTCGCCGCGCGAATGGCAGCCTCCACGAGCTGGTATCGATGTCCCAGAAGGCTTCACCGCTGTGCCGTCCGACGAAGAAACCCGCAGCTGGATAAACGAAAACGTCACATTTGCACACATCGACAAACTGGTATACAAGAGTTTCACAGGGACAATTACAATGGAGGACATGCCGAATATTCCCTGGCATTACCACCCCGAACTCCTGCGCCATGGATTCTCTGCAATGAGAACGAAGAAGAAAACAACAGCCCGAACCATCTTTGACCTGCTTGCGCCGCAGATTCTGCAGTCCGTTATACTTGGAATTAGCTATCCCTTCTTTGAGCTCTGTGGCCCCCTCAGCCTGTACCAGATCCTCGAATACATACGAAATCCAGAGGCTGCCACATTGCAGCCATATGTGTGGCTCATCGTCCTGTTCGGCGGTCGCTTGCTGCAGAGCATTCTCTTGCAAAAGTTTATATCGCTGACTCGGAAGATTGCCATGTATTGTAAAATTATGCTTACTGGCGAGGTCTTTCATGCGGCGCTAGGCTCCCGAGAGCTGAATGGCAATATTCTTCAGGATGCCGAGAAGAACGAGGAGGAAGCCACTCAGTCCAGAGAGGGCACAGCTGCTGGTATGCTTGAGAACTTGATATCAACGGACATGAACACGATCACATCTTTGCGCGTTTTCCTCATGGCCGTCGCACAAATTCCCGCCTCCGTCTTAGCTGTAGTCGGGCTATACAATGTTATCGGCTGGCCCATGTTTGCTGGCCTCTTCATCGTTTTCCTGAGCGCACCAATCTCAGGATACATTATGGGCTATATGATGCGTTTTGAGAAGAAGCTCAAAGTTTTCCAGGATGTCCGTGTCTCAATGTTGTCCGAATACCTCAGGTCAATCAAGGCGATTAAATATTTCGGCTGGGAAGACTCCATCGTCAGCAGAGTCAGGGACATACGCGCAAAGGAGCAGAGGCAGAACTGGAATATTTCGATGTGCTGGGTAGTATTCTCACAGGTAACATCCTTCATGCCCATCTGCTCACTGCTGGCCATATTTGGCCTCTACGTTGGCATTCTGAACCTGCCCATGACTGCATCCGTCGCTTATACGACAGTCACACTGTTTGATACAGTCCGTGGAAACCTTGACTTCATCTCTGCGGTCGTTTTGGAATTGCCCAAAATTCTGGTCTCTCTGCGCCGTTTTGATAGCTTCTTTGCTGCTCTCGATCCACTGGACCGCTATCCTGAAGGGCCTCTACGAATCCACCGTGCGACATTTCGTCGCAATCGAGCCGCCAGTTTCTCTTTATCTGACATCACGATTGATTTTGTCGAAAATGGACTGAATACAATCACGGGTATTAGCGGTAGTGGAAAGACAACGCTGCTGCTGGCTCTCCTTGGAGAGACGATCAAAGAAGCTGGCACCGTCACCCGGCCAAGAGATGCAGCTTTTGCGTCGCAGACCGCTTGGCTGCAGGCGCAATCGATCCGCGAAAATATTCTCTTCACACTCAAACACGACGAGAGACGGTATAGGAGCGTTGTCAGTGCCTGCTGCCTCGATGTGGACTTTGCCGAATTTGCCAACGGGGACATGACACAAGTCGGCGAGAATGGCGCTGCCCTGTCTGGCGGGCAGCGGGCGAGGATCGCCTTGGCGAGAGCTCTTTATTCTTTTGCCTCCTTGTTAGTTCTCGACGACATCTTCTCGGCGCTAGATACCAAAACTACCGTTTTAGTGTGGAATCGCGTATTCTGCTCTGACCTGATTAAGAACAGGACTGTGATTCTCGTGACCCAGTTGAACTGGGTTGTTGGAGAGGCAGATTTGGCGATTACACTTGAAGACGGCTCGGTCAAATCCACAGATCAAAATCTGGGACACGTTCGGGTGCCTCAAAACCTACCAGCATACTCTAGTGATGACCTGGACAATGCCGCGCCCGCTACTGATGTTGAAGAAACACCGAATCTCGCAGAGACAGAAAAGATGAACTTGATCGACGACGAAGTGGAAAAGAGTGGTGTCCTTGGTGGCTTTCCTGGTAGGTTTTCTCCATCTCGTGACATGCTAGCCTGAACTAATGATGGTACCGAACAGTACTGCAGTATCTAATGTACTTCGGCGGCCCGATCGCTGTCATTCTCACAATGGGAGTTATGCTCGCACAAACAGCGGCTGAGCTGGTAACCAAATACTGGTTACGGGTCTGGGTCGACAATGCCAACACAGATGTATCCGCCAGCACGTCATTCTACCTCTCCATCTTTGTGGCGCTGAGTCTCGGCACAGACGCGATAAATGCAGTGTGCTTCTGGACATTTATCAGAGGCGCCTGGTACGCTGCGAGGACGTTGCACGAAAACGCGGTTCATGCTCTGTTTAATGTCTCCCTGGGGTGGTATACCGATCACCCCGTGGGCAGAGTCATCAATCGTCTGTCTGGGGACATGGAGACGTTGGACCAGAACATCATCGGCACAGTCTTCGTGACCACCCGTACAATTATCATGTCAATTATGATGCTGACTGCCATCACTTGGATCCTTCCCGTTTTCATGGGACCAACCGTGGTGCTTGCTGGACTTGGCATCTTCGTGGGCGTCATGTACAACCAAAATGCCATTTACCTGAAGCAGTTGGTTTCCGCAAGCCAGTCCCCCATTCTCTCTAGCTTTTCCGAAGGACTCAACGGGATGGCAGTCATTCGCGCGACCTCATCCCTGCCCGGCCTCTTCTCCGAGCAGCTAGGACGGCTCCTCACCTCGTCGGCCCAGGCTGGTGTCTCGCAGATCGACGCCGACCAGTGGATCAAGTTTCGGATGAATACCATCTCGGGCTTGATCAATGTCTGTGCTGCGTTCCTAGCCATCTGGGAGAGCGACAGATTATCTGCCGGAATCGTCGGGTTTTGTCTGTCGCAAGCCACTGACATTAGCTCCGCCATTTTGATGCTTGTCTTTCAAGCCAGCGAGTTGAATCTGCAAATGCAGACGGTAAGCAAGATATGAACCGCTTCTTAATGCGCCATGACCTGATATGTCCTAGTTTCATCGTGTTCGGCAGTATGGAAAGTTGCCGCTAGAAGAAGAATCGCTGAGCGAAGATAAACTCGTCCCGGACGATGCAGCCAAAGAATGCCAGGCCGCACCTCCCAACTGGCCTGCCACTGGCGCTATTGAGTTCAGGAATGTCACGGTGCGATACGGTCCCGACGGGCCTGATGTTCTGAAGAACATCAACCTGCGGTTCAATGCCGGGGAACGTGTTGCCGTTGTTGGTAGAACTGGTAGTGGCAAGAGCACTGTAAGTTGCACAGCTCTGCCATGTTTCTCATCGGGTTCACTAATGGTATTGGGACAAATAGCTTGTTTTGTCCATGCTTCGCTTCACGAACATAGTATCTGGCCAAATCTTATACGATGGTGTCGATGTCACGAGTATCCCATATAAAGAGCTCCGACAGGCCATTTCCATGATCCCACAGGAGTCGCAGCTGTTCCAGGGTACGCTCGCAGAAAATCTCGACCCGACAGACACAATCTCCCAGGCCGATTTGCAAAAGGCGCTCGACGTCTGCCAATCCATCGCTGCCATCAAAACAAGTCGACAGCACTCGGCCACTGCTTCCGACGACGACGAGCGCAGCAGCGCCGATACGCTCGGGGGCGGCCTGACGCTGGAGACGCAAGTCAAGGCCAAGGGCGAGAACTTTTCGCACGGGCAGCGGCAAGTTCTCTCGCTGTGTCGCATCCTGGCGAGACAGTCCAAGCTGATGCTGCTCGACGAGGCGACCTCCAACATGGACGCGGAGACGGACGCCGGCATCCAAACGGCGCTACGCGAGGCGGCGGCGGAAGGTCAAGGGCGCTGCCTCGTCACCATTGCGCACCGGCTCCAGAGCATCGCCGATTATGACAGGGTAGTGGTGATGGGCTCCGGCGAGGTGCTAGAGGTGGGCAGTCCCCGGGAGCTGATGGAGAAGAAGGGCAGCTACTATGACCTGGTGATGCATGATCACGATGCGACCTCGGCTGAAGGCAGCTCGTAGGTTGTCGATCAAGTTAGTACATCCCACTCATTTTACATGTGATATATATTCCAAAAAAAGAATATCGTCTCATTTTGTTCAAGCAAGCTTACAGGAACTTGGACACAATATTAAAAGCCCAGAGCCGAGGACGATGGTCAATCCATCGTTGAAAGCATTGAACGAAAGTGTGGCACAAGTGAATAGCAGTGTACTTTGCCGCCTTGCCTTTTCTGCTTGCACTAAACACTGCCGATTCTTGCGCAGGTTGGTTAGTAACGAGTAGGGCCTGACACACGGTCTTGTTAGTTGATTCCTGATTATCCAGAAGGGCAACCAGAGGGTTGGTAATCCCAAGTGTGGTGGGTTTGGAGGGAATTGGCGCAGCCTGGCAGCGAGACTTTTCAAAGTCTGCTCAGAAAGAGTACCCGTTCTGCGTACTTCAAAGCGAGTCGCGTAAAGTGGTTCGTTGTGGCGCGCCTTCTTTGCCTTGTGATTGCTAGTGAACACGCTTTTGTGTGAACAGGCTTCGTCAGCCCATTTGGCGTGGCGTTGCGAAGCAGAGGGACGTATGTATTTTCGGGGGGGCGGCGTATTGCTGTTTCGTGGTTGTCGAGTTGCTTCCGTGTGGGCTCCTATTGATGACTGCATCGTTGCGCCCTTTTTGCTCGTACATTCTAGGCAGGTTGGCAGGGCACTGTAATTTGTACTCCGTAGATGATCCGCACAGGGCAGACTGCGGTGGCAACTTGTACGGTGCCAAAGAACCTGGCACCCAGGCCCATGACAACTGCGACAATCGCCTTGACCCTCTCAGCGCCGCCCTGGTCCCCCTCCAACCTATCGCCTTGCAGTCGAATGTTGCATCACCATGCAAGTAGCCTGGCTAATTTCGTCAAAGATTTCCTGGTGGAAGCACGACAGGATGAGAAAGGCAAAGAGGGCTTGGTAAGATCCATGCACGCCGCAATTTCGTGTCCCGAAAAGAGACACGGAACCATTCATATGTCCTCCCTGCCTGGATTTGTGGTGCAACCTCCAAGGCGACAACACGGCAACATGAGACCTCCCTCCCTCATCTCAAAACTCATGAGTAGTCCCCTGATGATGAAGAGAAACAGGCCAGGGCCACACGCGGTGGGGACCAGCGTCTGCCACTGTGCCACTGCATTCCGGTTGCCTTTGTCAAGTCTGGCCCTGCCGATAGTCCTTCCCCAGTTCTTTTCAATACTGGCTAGCCTTGTTGAGTCTCGTTGATATCCATCTCTTTATTTCGTCGTACACTGATAATAACGAACCGAACGAGCCATATAGATCCACGACATTATACTAACTTTCGACTTTGGAGGCACTGATGGAGTAGAACTATCTTAGGCCTGATGGACTGCCGTGCAATACTGCAAAGCGCTGAAGCCATGAAGAGACAGGCTGGGAAGAGACGAAAAGCCGCACGAGAGGGGGATTTGTGAGCCTCAATCATCCCGACAAGACGAGTACCTCGATGTCCGTCAACTGAGTTTGCATGTTGGTAGTGTAACAGCTGGTTTATTTTATCGCCTTCTTGTCACGGTATGAAGAGACTGACTAACATGACGCAGGAGGAGCAAGTCGTTCATTATAGTTACTGCACTCCGTATTATTAAGAATGTAGCCCTTGGCTAGAAAGAAAAAACAGGTGGCGGGCCTCCACCACCACTATAAACCCTGTAAATGCAGCTAAAGAATCACAGTACGAGTGCGCTTGGTTGGGTCATCTTTATCAATTCAGGCAAGCCAAGCTTTTCTACGAAAAATGTAGATGCAGAGAGAAACGAAAGAGTTGACAAGATTTTGGGTCTGTAACCGCACCTGCCGAACAGCCAGCCTGCGAGGCAAATATTGGTGAAGTATGACGACGTGGTGACCCTCCGGTGGGCCATGAGCTGGGTGGCTTGCTGTCAAGACGCTTAGGCTTATTTGTTATGAGGCGGTAACTGTAATTACTGAGACTCCTGCGTGCCAAACGAGCAGATGTTTCTCTTGGTTATAATAACAATCTCGCTCACTGCTTTGTTGCTGGTAATGAGCAGTCAGTTAGCTAACACACACGCGGCAAACTGGAACGAGTCAGCCTGAAGCCAGCAATGGCACATAGCAATGGCACATCCTTTGAACGCCTCGATGAAGGTATTATGGGTATTACGGCGATGACCACATAAGAGGAATAATTACACAGCCATGCCCTGTAATTAGCCACACTATTTATTAGCTGGTGCTGGTGCCCATGGCTACCTAGCTAGTTATCACCGCCGACTCCTAGTTAGTTAACTAGGGCTTGAGATGCCGCGTCGCCCATCCTTTCTTGTTATTACGCTAGTGAGGAGCGGCAGCCGAGCCAGGGCAGAATGGCCGTGTCAGCTGGCCTTGTCACACTTCATTGTCGGACCAAGCAGGCAAGGTAAGCAAGTTGTCAGTGGGAGGAGGCACGAGCCCAAGCGTCACTGGGCTTCGGGCGGAGGATTCACATCTGCGAAACCACTGACCAGTAATAATATGGAACAACGAGTTCATGGTGGCCTGCGCGTCCCATTCGCGCTGGACCACGCGCCCTTGCCCGAGTGCCAAAGACTGCTGATTGCCCTGTCATTTCGGAGGTCGAAACAACGACGAGCTGTATCAAGCCTGGCTCCACGGGAGAACTACAAGCACATGAGCAGCATTTGGTTGCTTCTTATAACAGTGCCGTAACTAGTGATATCTACAAGCTGCAGTGAACACGAGTTGCGGGTTTCCTTTCTGGTCATAAATCAGTCAGCTTACCACGTAACACGAGCTGTTTTCTGCAGGGCAGCATTCTTGTACAATATTGCGGCGATGGCCATTGACTGTGGTTGCATGGCTCTCGTCAAGAAGTTTAGGGCGTCGGTGGCCTAAGTAGGTTCCCAGTCTAAAAGGCGGATCCGAGTGCAGAGGTATTCGCAGCAATAATGGTTGGAGAGGCACCTAAACTTTTCCCTGTGTTGGCCCCTCCATGGGTGCATGCTCATAAGCCGGGGCCCAAGTTAACTAGTGCTTCGTGGCTGTCCGGATTGTACGAGGAGGGGCCTTTAGGATGCAGTTTGTTAGACGTATATTGCAGAGCAAAGCGCATTGATCCCAGGCATAGCTGGGTTTGGAAGAGATACACAGTCGGCCAGTGAGGGCGGCAACTCGAGCTAGAGATACTTTGGAGTGTGATTGAGCAGCTGCGGCTGGCCAGTTGGGTGATGATGTGGTGACGAACAGCCAGGCGTGGTGGAGTACTGATATGCGTGCTCGTTTTCTTGCATGTCCATCTGCTTATTTGATATCACTGCCCGTCCGGAGTAGGGTTAGCAAACTGGTTAATATTAACGAAAATATAATAATGATAACAAGACCGGCTTGGCCAACTAGCGCCATGCCGGAAGAAACGGTAGTTACTCCATCTCCCCAAAAAGGTGATTTTATTATTAGTTAGCGCGGGCTGTCTAATAAGTCAGCTACGGTTGCGGGCAGAGTAATTATGGTGACCTGAATCAGCACAATTCCAGAGGTCGTTCCGTTTTTGTCACCTGAATAGGATGTGAGGTACCACGGTGACAACTAATTTATACCCGGACCAGGACAGGCGAGCTGAGGCAGCAAGTGGAGAGGAAAGCGATATCCGTAAAGAAAAGGGCGATCACTAATTACCAGTAGTTTCGTATCCAAAGAAGAAAGGCAATGCCGCGACGGGGCTTCGGGTTTGAAATGGATAAAGACGTGGGAGCCAAACAAAGAAACGGTGGCTGGTTACCTTTGGAGACAGACTTACAAGGTGGGCATCCGAAAGCCAAGATGGGGCAAGCTCCCTTGATACCAGCATGTCTTGTCACAGAGCGCTGGAGTCTGGAGCAGGTGCAGGCGCTAATCGCGATGGGAAAAGCCGCAATTCATGGTGTTTGGAGGTGGTGGGACAAGAAGAGAGACAGGTGAGGAAAGTAAAAGGGAGGCTCGGACATGAGGCGGACGGGAGGACCATAGTTAGGAAGAAGGGATTTTTTTTTTTTAGGAAAAGATCCGTGAAGCTGTTATTATACCAAGAGGTGTATAAAATAGCACGATATCACAGGTGGTCTGCACAGAAGTAATGTCTTGAGCAACTCTCTTTCTCTTTACTGACCTCGTGGCGCCTGCTTGCCTGTACCCTTGCTCTGGAGCGGCCGCAGCACGGTCATGGGTACCTGCCTGGGTACAGGTAGGAGGTAGCGCCCAGCAGACTAGCGTTTTAGTGGGCTGTGTGGTGGCACAACCCCCCCTCTTACGCTCTGAGTCTCTAACAGCCCCCGGGCTGGCTGAGCAGCGCCCAAGTGGTCCAGCGGTGGGCGTGGAGGCGCGGAGCGGGTGGGCGCACAGGAGGCGGCCAGACAAAAAGTACCTTGGAAAGTAGGGGCCGATACGTCTGCTCAGTATTCATCGCGCGGCAGCCAAGCAAGTACCCAGGTTCCAGGAAACATGTAGGCACTGTCGCAAGGTAGAACCGAGGGAACAAGGACGTCAAGGAGGTATCTGGAGCAACCGTTCTTTTATTATGGGCCTCTGCAATGCCAACGTGTGGCTCAAATGAATCTGTAAAGGCGACCTGCCCGTCGCAGGAATCATCTTTCACCCAACTTGCACATCTTGTGCTTGTTGGGCAAAAAGTATGCCGACTCTTGACTCCGAGGTAGACTGTACCCGTACTGGCACCCTTCCGGCGCAGGAGGCGGACAAAAACTGATACTACAGGCACTTTCAGGTACGGTAATTGGTCTGCCCACCCCCCCCCCAAAAAGCCCCCCCAATACGCTTCCCCACCCCCTCTCGCTTGGCCAACCACGTCGCTGGCTGAGCCTTGCCCATCCGCCATTTGGCTCCTCCGAGACCCTCCTCAAACTCTCTGCCAATGCTCACCAAAAAGTCACCACTGCCAGCTTCGCGACCAGAGCCTCTTGGAGCCCACCCTAGGCTCGCCTCTTCACGGCTCGATGGGGACCGGTCAGTCAACATTCACCACCTCGACGCAAACGACCTTGTCCCCTGCCTTGTTGGCTTTTTCCTCTCATCATTCACCAAGTCGACCGACCCTCTCGTCATGGCTTTGTTGCTCGCCTGCGCTTGCACTTAACTTTGTCGTCGGTCCCGTCCAAAGAGCCTCTGCCCTTTTCGCTTCCCTTGTCTTGTTTCTCCGTCTCGCCCGTTTCCCCCCCGCCGTCAGACCCTCTCCCGTACAGAGCAACAACACCCTCCTCACTCGAGCCCGCCTCACTCGAGCTCGGTTTCATGGAAATCTTGCTCGCCTCGATACGCTGCCGCCTGCTTCCGCCACGGCCCTCTTCAATCAACCCGACCCTCGCACCTCCTCTGGCACCTTCCGCCTTCTCCTCAACAAACGCTTGACTTGGCCTTCACTTGGACTCGACGTTTGCACCACTTCCGCCTGCTGCCAGCTGCCAGCTGCTCGCCTTCGACTTCTTTCCTCGTCCAATTGGCGTCACTCCTTGAGCCCAGCGAAACAAACGGGCAAACGAGCCAACGCGCAAAAACGCTCGCCTCGACCTCCATTCGCACTCGTCCCGGCCAGCCCATTTCTCCTCCATGCCTACCCAACTATTGACGACTGCATCTCACACATTCTCGTTTCCTTCTTCTCGCCAGCCCGCCTCTTGCCCATATGCTCATCCGACCATCTCGTTCAACGATAATACATCCTTCTCCTCTGACCACGGTCCTGTGGCGGCTCCTATCCATCTTCGAGGCCCAACCAACGATATGAGTGCCACATACCAGCCCTCCTACGCTGCCTACGACAGCCATGCTACACACAACTATACTGCTGCTTCTGCTCAATCAAACAGACCCAAGGTCAGGGTAGCCGACTCTCAAAATCTCCAATACCTCCGCTACCCGCCCCAGCCTGTCCAGCAGCCAGTGCACCAACAAGCCCTCCAATACGACATTCCTAGCACATCGCACCAGGTGCAGAGGGATTCCGACCATCTGGCACGCCCACCGACACCGACTTCAGAGGCTACCATGCCGTCCCAGGAAAGCCAGTCCAGACGGAACTCGGATACCCTCATCTTTCACAGCCTCCAAATACCGAAATGCATCAGCCCAGCTGGAGGAAATCTGGCAGACTTTGCCGCTCAGGTAGGCTTGTTTCGTTTGCCATATCTTGCCGTCATTTGTTAACCCCCTTTAGATGACATGCCTCTTCTGGTTCCAGTCAACAGATGACCTCAAGAACGCCGAATCCATTCGCTCGATTCCCGTAACAGCCACATTACCCCGACTGTCCTCCTTGGCCAAACCCTACGACCAGTTTCGCAAATGGGTTTTGAATGTGCTTCAAACAACCCAGGTGACTCAAAATGTCATTTTGCTGGCGCTCCTCTTCATTTACCGTTTGAAGATGTCGACTCCACAGATCAAAGGCCGCGCTGGCAGCGAGTATCGACTCCTCACTGTCGCCCTGATGCTTGGCAACAAATGTTTGTCTACATACTCAACACCCGCCGACTGTACGTGGCGCTGACTTGCAGTAGTTCTTGATGATAATACATATACCAACAAGACGTGGGCCGAAGTATCTTGCTTTGCCGTCCAGGAAATCCATGTCATGGAAGTTGAATTTCTCAGTAACATGCGATACAACTTGCTAGCCTCCAAAGAGATATGGGAGTCATGGATCACCAAGCTCGCCTGCTTCCACGAGTATTATGACCGCGCCTTGCGTCAACCCGCCTCGCCCCTGCACACGGCAGCCATGTTCCAGTCCCCGATGTCGTCCCCCAAAGCTAATATGCTACATATGATGCCTGACATGCCCCCTTACACTCCTACCACGTTCAAGACGTTCTCTCCAACCTCGAGTCATTCGCAAGACTGGCACACAGTATACCAGGCAAACGCCGCCTCGCCGCTGGCATCCAAGCCTGTTCGCCTCACAACCTCGCGCAAAAGAAGTCCCGAGTATGACGCCGCCGACCACCCCGCCAAAAGACAGATGGCTCCGCACATTGCACCCGTCATTGTTCCTGGAAACGGTGTCCGCATTTCTGGTGCTGTCGAAGCACGACTACCTGTTCCCCAGCTTAGCGTCGTGACGAGTCAGGCCCAACCCGCTGGAGCACCCTATCTGCCAACTGCTCCGTCATACACTCCAGTCCCCAGTATGCCTCTTCCGCCGCTGCAGCTTGGTGTCCGTGCCATGTCGACGGTATATCAGCAGCCACTTGGTGGAAATGCATCACAGCAACAACTCCAGCCTCAAGCCCAGCAGCAGATGATGCCTGTAGTGACAACAGCTCCAAGCTACCCGGTTTCGGCAACGGCTACCCATCCTCCTGTCAATCTAGGTACTCCGAGCAAGCGACGCAGCCCTGGTCACCTGGTTCACTACACATCGTCGCCCATGATAGAGCCTTACGGAGCGGTATCGGCTATGCATACGCCGCTTGCACTGACGCCTCTGGCCAATTCGCCAAGCATCTACTTGCAGCAGCGCTCGAGCCCATACAAGCCTATTCGACACGTCAACAGGCTCCTTCATCCTGCGTCGGCATCCCTGGATCAGTACCACCTGTCTGTACCGATCCACCCCAACCAAATTCACTATCAGCCTCTAGGCAGACGCAACGACGTACGCACTGGTGTAGTGCCCGAGTTTGTAATGTACAACAGACAACAACAACAGCAAATGGTGCCGCAGAGTCTGCATCAAGGCGTATACCCCTAGCTGGGGCCTACGCACTGGATCCCAGCATTTCAGTGATTTATTTCACCCCCTTTGTTTTTCCATCTTTCATTCATCGCGAGGCTGCATATGAGGAGCGGTCCCTGCATTGTACAAGGTATCGCTTAGCTTTGTTTTGATACACAGTCTCCTTATTGGCTGCCCGAGTTTCGGCGCCGGGGTTTACGGTGGCGTTTTTTTATTTATTTAGAAGTTGCATTGCATGGCATGGGATAGCATCAACTACCGGCGTTGGTAAAGACGCGATCGTGATCGCGGTACGCAAGGAGGCGGTGGTTTGCGCCGAGGGACTACCGGGTACCGACATGGCCAGCAGACAGTTGCCCTTGGCACATGCGGCGCTGCTGGAGAATTTGTTTTGCTTATATTTTATTTCTCCAACCTGTGGTACCAGGACGGTGGATAATCAGACGTGTAGAAGAACCAAAATACATGTCATTGCTTAGCCACTTTGGCGAGATGGGCACTACATGCACCGACGAATGGGGGAAACGGCGATTACGGTAAACGAGAAAGTCGAACGAGATAACTACGGTGTGTTCAACCCAAGCATTCATAGATGTATCAATACTGGAGCATACTTCAACTTGACCTTGATGCTCCTTTGTTCGTGTATGAGGGACACAAGGTGGGTTGGCAGTGGGTCAATGGTCAGTGACGTATGTGGGCTGTGCTGTGGCTACCTACCTAGGTAGGAGCACTGGAGGACGTCTCATGACGTTGATTATGCTTATCTTTACAACAATATAACCAGAAAAAGGTAAGACACTTAAGAATGCTACTAACATGAGCCAAGGGCACTTCACAGCGCGCGAAGCACATTTTCTTGCTTAGTCGCACCCACAGGGAGGATCGATGAGCTAAATACTACCTAGGTACAGGGTAGCTACTACGACCGCCTGGCAACCGCTCAACAGTTGTTATTGGCAGCCCCACTTTTCCCCTGGCCCTTTGCTTCCCGCCTCAGATTTCATTGCCACCTACCTTCCTTGTTGACGAGGCCCAAAGTACACCAGGAACAGTTACTGACGCGCACGACGTCCAGAGGGGCTGCTTTACTTTACACAAACATCTTTCCTTATCACGGAACAACCGCTCGCTTAGTGTCCTTGATTTCCACTTCTTTGTCCTCCGTCTTCGCCGTGTCCATTGATCGAAAACTCGAATCGCCACCGTCCGCTTTCCATTGCAATTTCCGGAAACAGTTGCCCGTCCACCTCGCTATAGTATCTTTGCCGACCTTGCGGGGCTCGAATATACATTTTGCCAACCGATCCGACACCGCAACGGCTTGTGCTAACGGCTGACGGCTGCTGGCCCGGACGCAACGACACCATACTAGACCTCTGCCGACTGTATACCCCCGAACGACGCTTTTAGGAAAATCGACGACTTCTGACGCTTCGCTCTGAAACGGCTGGCCAAGCTAGCGTCACAGAACACCCATAATGTCGGGCTTTGGTGACTTCACGTCCATCTGCCAGAATGCGCCGCTGCCGCTCTGCGCTTCCGTCGGTCCCCAGCTCGCAGGCGTCGACCACGTCGGTATTGAGCCTTCATGCTATGCGCGCAACATTGAGCTCGCCAACACCATCATTTTCGAGGGCGCCGCCTCAGCCACCCACATCTTCGCCCTCTTCATGACTGTCGTCATGATTCTGCACGTTCGCTCCAAGTTTACCGCCGTCGGCCGCCGCGAGATTTTGACCTTTTTCTACCTGTACATGCTGCTCTCCTTCTTCTCCCTTATAGTCGACGCCGGCGTCGTGCCCCCGGGCTCCGGGCCGTATCCGTACTTTGTCGCCCTGCAGAGCGGCTTCACCAGCGCCCTCGTCACCTGCCTGCTCATTAACGGCTTTGTCGGCTTCCAGTTATACGAGGATGGCACGCCGCTGTCAGTTTGGCTGCTCCGTGCCTGTTCGCTCGTCGCATTTGCCATTACATTTCTTGTCTCTATTGGCACTTTCAAAGGCTGGGCTGGTCTATCGCCCACCAGCACAATCGGCCTGTTTGTCGTCTTATACCTGCTAAACGCAATTCAGCTGTTTGTCTACGTCGTCATGCAGGTGCTACTCGTCACGCGCACCCTGCAGGACCGATGGCCGCTCGGCGACATTGCCTTTGGCGTCTTCTTCTTTGTTATCGGCCAAGTTATGCTGTATGCCTTTTCCGACAAGCTGTGCCGCGCCATCAGCCACTACCTTGATGGCTTATTTTTCGCCACTGTCTGCAACCTCTTAGGCGTCATGATGGTGTACAAGGTATGTGTGCTTGTCAACTACGCAATCATAAGTAATGACTTGACCACTGACAATCGCCGCAGTACTGGGACTCCATCACAAAAGAAGATCTCGAATTCTCTGTCGGCACACGCATGAACAACTGGGAGGTCAAGGAGCTACTCCCAGAGGAGGATCGTCGCGCCACGATGTACATGGACGACCCCTACGGCCAATCGACCGCCTACGATATGCCATACTCGCCCACGGCACGCTATTCGGCAAAGTACTAGAGGTCGAGCCAGATTACCACCAGGAAATAATATCTGAATAGAGGGAGAGGGAGGATTTGGTGCCAACATACGGTGTTTTTGGTTTTCCTTTTTGAGCTGTCTTCAGCCTGTGGATGACGCGTCTTCGTCCCAACACAACGCGAAGGAGCGCTTTCGGCGCATTGGATGAGTTTATTTTTAAAGCTGTTTATTATTTATGGAACCTTTTTTTAATCATTGGCTATATATAGCTTGCAAGACACTAATCCTGGCACACCGAGCAAGGAGTTACATGAGAAGAGCGGCTACATTTACTTATCCCATTTAGAACCATCTTGTCACATGGCAATGGCGAAGGAGTTTCTTTTGGCAGCGTTGAACACAACTCCTATACTCGGAGCGCAGGACGCCATGAACGGAGGCGACGAAGCCAAAGGTCGGTTGTTGGAGCCGGCGCAACAACAGGGCGGTGAAACCGGCCGAATCTGGATCAGAAGATCAGTTTTGGAAGGGACTTTTGCAATCCAGCAGGGTAAATGTAAAAAGTCCACAGGAGAGCAGACGGTGCCGAGACATGGAGACGGCGCTGGGAGAAGAGACTTCTATGCAGGGTGAACTACGCCACCAACACACAGCGGCTTTCCTTTCTAGAAGAGCCGACGAGTACGACGACGACCCTGTCGTGGGTGGCGGTTGACGCCTCTATTCTCCCAACGTTTAGCCCTAGCCAGCTCGGCCTCGTCGCCGCCTGGTTGTATACGGCTCGTTGTGTGTGTGCGTGCCGTGTGTATGTGATGTGTGTATGAGTGTACGTGTGTACTAGTATGTGTAGGAGCCTTCACACCCCCAAATACTCCGAGCCCCGAGGGAGAGCAAGATCCTCGGCTCCTCCCTTCTATTTCCCTATCGAGGTGCATTAGCCGGGTGCCTTGGCGGTTACAAAGAAGTGTAATGTGCTCCGGGCGCAAAATGTGGCGCCGCCGACGGGGGTCGGTAACTTATTAGTACCCGCCTTCTTTTGCAAGACGTCACCCCAAAATGTTCATCTGTTGTTGGTAGAAGAACAGACGGAGCCGCGTGGCGTCGTTGTCGCTGTCGCCGTCGCCCGCGGGAGGGTTCAAGGGTGTTATAGCAAGGTTCTAGGCGACTATCAATTTCCATTCACAGGAGAGTGACTTTATGCCTTTGATTAGTTGCATCACCTCTGTGGAACGGAGTACATGTCGCCTTTGAACCAACTTTCAGTGTGTCCTACCTCCGTTTCGAGCACACCCCGTCACGAGAGTGCATCTGCCATGGCTACCAACAACACTTCAGTGACGAAATGTACGGAGCAGCATGACCTCAATGACAATGTTAGGCAACTCTCGTTACACAGAACGTGGCAGCACAAGAGTCGCTGCCTTTGGTCTTTGTGGACACCGGGCTCATCGTATTTTGGTTGTGCCATGGTCGTCCTTTGGTGGCTCTTGGGGAACGATGCCAAATGCAGAAGAAGCACACGCGGCCCTGTCTAGCCTGAAGCTGGTCGAATATATTATTTTGGCTACCCCTCACTACTTTCGGAGCCGACAACACCAACGTGGCGCAGGGCACACCGGTATGACAGAGATTATGCAGCTCCTATGACCAGCAGCGGTGACTCTCTGCTGTAGAACGCGACAACTGCCTCGTTTAAAGGGTTAATAATAATTTAGGCTTTGTATCACCACCATTTTCTGAACAGGCTGCTACTTGTTCGGCGGCAGGCATCACACATTCAAGATTACCCCCCCTATGTGTAGGTAGGTGCTGTTTCGGCGCGTGGTGCGGCCACTCGTCCATGTCAAAGGCAGGCAGGCCAGGGGGGGGGGGGGGGGGGCGGACCATACAACTTGAAGCCGCGTTGGACTCGCCTAACATAGCCTCTTCTTGAATAGCTCCTTTCGAGAATGCTCTAGGGCAACAGGACATAGTGTAAGTTCATTCGCGCAAAGAGTATTAATGTTCCACTCCTCCTTGTCGTGCGTCCACACGAATATGATATGGCGACGGCGTTAGTGCGGGCGCTGTTGCGGAAATAGGACTGTCGAGATGGGCTGGGGTTGGGGCCAAGCCTTGTCTGGTCCTTTTATTATCGGTACTATTAAGGTAACGTTATACAGAACGAATGCTCCACTGACTGGGACGGGAGCCTAGACTCAACGGCGGTGATGTGGCTGCCCACCTTTTTGAGCTGCTTGAATCGGGCCACCAACATGACCTATCGTCAAGAACACAAGAGCGGAGGCGGAAACACGGGCACGTTTCTTTTATATTGACAAGTTGCAAAAAACGGTGGCATTCAGGCAGACGTGGTACCAAGGGCCATGTAGACTCTGGAGCTGGAAGTGTGAAGGGCGTCGGGCAGTATGTTCGGGTTACCTCGTCTGGTTTGTTGGTACATCAACTCAGGTCTGCGTTGGCTGTCGTGACGGACGTGACCACACCCCGGCGTTCTCGGGGACGACCTTGGGAGGCTTGCATACTGATGCATGGACGGCGCCTAAGACCTCGCTTTTGTGGAATGGACAAACCCTGTTGCTAGTTGGTTGAAACTTGATACATACTAGCAGTGAATCAGAGCTGGTAATTTCTAGAAAGATTGTTGGTCTATTCTGCGTTACTCCTTAGCACCGTAGGGCGTGCCCCGTCCGGGCATCGCCGACCGCCATGTTGATCGAGTAATTTATAACTAGAGTAACTAGGTAGGGGGGGCCCAGCAGGCAGACCGGCACTCGCTGATTGCTGTTAGCGTCTGGAATATAGTAGGCTATATGCGGATGGCAGGCCGCAAAATCAGGCTGTAACTAGCAAAAGCTGCTAACGGGAGCAACAGTGGCCAAGCATAGACAAGCGCCGTCTCCGTTGCGACCCATTCAGAAGACCGAGAGTGGAGGTAGGGGACAAAAAATAGAGTCAAAGAGTGATGAGAGACAGAGATACAAGGAGGGCGGCGATGTTTGCTCACGTTGGCCCGTGGCTTTTTTTTTTCTGCTCGAGGGATTTTTTCTGGCCCTCACTCTCTTCCCCTTGTTCCGGCCGTTGCCTGCGGCCGCTCTGCGTCACAAAAAGGTGACACCAAACCACACAGTATCCGCAAAAATCACGTCTCGTTACTGGATACCAAAGTGCTGGTAACGAATAGCATAGCGTATGAGTTGGGTGCTAATAAGACTCTATAGGAGGGAAATGACCCTCCCACCTAGGCCCCCTCTTTCATACTGATTTTTTTCCCCATGGTTGGTAGTGTGTCGGGGGGTAGAAGAAGATGTCGTCACGGCCGAGTGGTTTTCATGGCCTCATCGAACGACCTGCGCTTCGTGGCCCAAGGGAAGAAGCTGGTCGCATTTGCCTCCATCTCGTCTACTTTGGCGGCTGCGCCTACGCCTTAGCTGAGAGTCCACTTTGGCCCCCACGTCCGTTGGCTGGGCTGTGGTGGTTGTGTGTTGCGGCCAGAATAATGGACGAAAATAAAAAAATGAAAACGATATTAATATATTCTTTTAAATACTTCCGCGGGGCACTCTATCTTGCCAGCTGGCTTGCATCACAAACCGGCCACTGACTTCCGAATGACCCCACTCTTGTTGGTTGAGTCGAAACTGGTCGCCGTTTGTATTGTGTATCCGTCGTCGCCTGCCTCGTTTTTTCTACCCGTGCTGTTCTCTTCTTCATGATGCTTCCCCCCATTTTCTCTTCCTGCTGACCCTGGCATTTTCCACCTCAGACACTCACAGCACAGGCATCTCTCTGCCCCCTCAAGCTGGCGCGCCTATCCTTCACACCCCATCACCCTGTCCTTGTCTCTAGCGTCCCCTTGCCACACCCTCCCCCCTCAACCTGTGTTTGTCTTTCTGATTTACACTATCCTAATCACATATCTATCAAAGACCCCCCGAACCCCCCGCCAGCCACCTCGGTCACCGCTGGCCAACTACATTGACCGCCCCCCGCATCAACCACAAGGCACGTGCTTGGACCACTCTGCCGTCTCTTGTTAGACCTGGGTGCTGTTGGTACCTGGTCTGCTAGTCAACGTTCGTGGCTGTCTCGATAAGAACTCAAAACGACAACCAACGTGACCATCTCTTCTCAACTTTCCAACAACCCAACACCCTCCCCGTACTTTCCAACTCTTGCGCAGAGACCTGCCCAACAACGCACTCACTCCCTATACGCCCTACCGAATTCACATTCTTCTCCATCTATCCGGGAGACTACTCAGGTAAGCCCATCGTTCCTGCCCTAGCACTGCAGGGGTTCTTTGCGCATCGTTGCGGGCCTGGCGTTGACCCATTCTAGCGTCAGCTTCACCACGGGAGCCAACCAGCTCGGCTGGCTCCAACAGCACATCTCTTTTTCTTATATGCAATGGAAAGAAGAGACGAGAAAAGCACTACAGACCTCAAAAATCTTCCCATGTCGCCTCTGTCGCCAGCTCGCCGGGCTGAGGCGTGGGATATCACAGAAGATGATTTCTGGCGTAAAAATGCTGAACAACGCCAGCAACAATTTTCCCACGTCTCCCAGCGCTGGAACCATAACCGATCATCCGCCATTTCCAGCCTTCAGTGTCTGGAAGCCGACGCCCGTGCGTTCAGAGTGACAGAAGAGAGGCTAAGCCGAGAGCTCATGGCAATCCGCAGCCAGGTGAATCTCGTCAGTGAAAAGTACAATCAGGAAGTCCAACGCTTGCACAGCATAGATGCTCAACATCAAATGGACAAGCAAGAGTTGGTAGGCAAGCATGAGAAGGTTGAACGCAAAATGAACCACTGGTTCAAGAAAGAAAGGAGCCAAGACGGCATTCACGACCGACAATGGGCATTGCCAGAGCTCATCGACAAGCGGCCCCCCGAGAGACAACTAAAGCTTCCGCCGCTAGCAAATCTTCATCTCCCCCGAGAGCCGCCCAAGCAGGACGACAGAATCGTTGCAATCATTGACGCCGACGGAAAGATATTGGACAAGCTCCAGTACCTCGGACTGTCAAATGAACGCACAACAACTATTTCCGCCCGAGCCGTGCTCCAGCCCATCAAACTCCGCAGTGCCAACCGATTTCACGAAGACACCAGGCCAAGTATCTATAGTTTCGCAGACGGTAAAGGCACTGGCTGGATAGCTTGTATGATACAAGCCACAGGTGTTAGCCAAAAGAAGAAGTGTCAGGGCTGCAGTCAAAAAGAAAGTCCCTTTGAGGGCTGCGTCGCCGTTGGTGGTCATCTTTTCCCGAAATGCGGCAACTGCGAATGGAATGGGACGAGCTGCCCAGGATTGGAACCTTTGTCTCCGAGTAACATGCTGGTCCGCGGATCGGCTTCTCTGGCTCCATTGCGCATCAGATCGCAGTCACTTACATCCGGTCCGAGTTCGGAGTATCCGGGCCATACCCCCTCTTCTGAACTGGAAGCGTTGGCCGCGGCAGCCCAGGAGGCATCTCTGAAAGCCTACACGTCACACTGCAACCCCCCCGGAATACCAGTCTCTGGATTCAAGGCTGTGAATCAGGCTCCTATGTACGATACAGGCCGGCTAGGACCCGGTTCTGCTCTTCCTTTACCGACTTCTAGTACCGCCGGTTACCGAAGGTGCTCCAAGGCATCGGCCTCGAGCTGCCCGACCTCGCGACAAATGACGCCCCTTTCATTCCGACCGATTGAATTTGCCCCGCCAAAATCGGACGAAATAACCAAGGAAAGCCTTGTACTAAGGCACAACGGCAGCTTCTACACGTTTCCTAAGTGTATCGACGGAGTGCCCGTGGAAAAGATCAGCCCGAGTCATCCATATTGGGAGCCCAAGTGGCCTGACCTGCGAACTTTGGTAGAGCCTGTTCTGCGCTCATGGGAGGAGAAGTATCAGTCGGCTGAGGAAGCCACCAGACGGGGTGAAGCTGTTGGTAATGTCAAGTACCAGTACGGCCGCCAAGTCAACCGTGGAAACAGGATCCTCAATTTTCTGGAGCAAGGGGCAATAAGCCCTTACCAGCTCCTTAGCAAATCCTTTATGAGCGTGGGAAAGGGGAGCATCACCTCGTACGATACGCTGTTCCGCCTCTGCGAGACAGTGGAGGCTCTAGCCAATTACAAGACTGACGTCGAGCCTGTGGATTGGCTACGGCAGCGGCTACATGAGCTGATTCTGGCGCAGGGGACTGCTTTCAACTTTTCCAAGACGATTCACGACTTTTATAATGATCCGAAACTGGCTTCACTCCGGCAAAAATCAGGCTTCAAGAGTATTGGACGACCATCTGGTATCAAGATGCCGCGGCGAAGAGCTGGAAGCGCGGATGAGGCTATGTCCTCGGCTCCACGGGCGCGTAAGCGCCGCAAGAGTCCTCACTCGTATGGGACGGCCAGCCCGCCGGCGGATCTGATTAGTGAAGCTTCTATAGCCGACGGTGAAGCCGACGATGGCCCAGCGGGCAAGAAACAAAAGGCGGCGGCGAAAGTTTTGGACAGCCTAGAGACGGGCGAAGTATCTGATGCCGACTCGTGGAGCGGAGCACCAATTGCCGGGTACGATTTTCGAATCTATCAGATCAAAACGCGGCTATTTACTAGCTCGGAAAAGGTGACGCAGTACTGGGGCTGGGTGCCAGAGAACAACATGTTTGAGCACCAGGTGCTGGAGGGCACCGACCCGACAGCATGGAGTGTGCACCGAGAACCGATCGATTTCAGCCTCCGTCTAGAGGATGTGGTCAAGATATCGTGGAACCTCAAGGCGTTGCGGGTCTATCTGGTGATGAGCGATAGACAGATCTGCTTCGAAGACGACAAGCCGCGTGGGGATGTCATGGTTTCGTTCAAGCGCGCCAATACGATGCGGAGGTTCATCAAGTTCTGCCGACAGGAGGAGATTGAGCTTGTAGAGGAAACTTGGTAAGTCATGGCGGCTTTTATATTTTGTCCTCATGGTGGAATGTACTAATACGTTTTGCAGGAAGAAAATGGAGCATCTTTGGGGAACGATGCAATCGGAGCGGCTGCCAGCGGGTGATGAAGAGCCCAGCGCAAGGATGCAGGAATAGTTTTCCAGGCCGGAGCGGCGGCGTCCCGGTTGATTTTAGGGAGATGTTCTTCCTGGCGATTGTAGGATAGTTTTTTTTTTTTGGTTCTGTGGCTATGTTTAGTGGTTACCCCTGGGAAGGTGCGTACGACTTTGGACGATGCTCTCGTTGTGTTTCCGTTTCCAGAAAGGTTTTATTCATATGAGGGGTAGCAAGCACGTTGGAAAGCATCGATTTTCTTTTTTTTTTCTTTTCAGCACAATAAAATCAAGTCTAAAAAGGCTTGTTTAAAAACACACGGGTTTTGTAGTGATGACTTAGACGGTCAAAGTCTGCAATGCATTCCTGCTTTTCGCAGCTCGGCACTCGGCGCTCGGGTTCAACAGGCTGACATGAGAGAAAATTCATCGACCGCTCCTAGTTACCGGCTCGACCCGCAGGTCATCCACTTGGTGCAAAGCCACGATGGATGGGTGCAACCGTGCGAGTGAAGAAGTGAAGCCGTCTTCTGCCCTGTTGACCTGCCTGCTGATGGGTATCGAAGCCCATTTTCATGCACGTCCCTAGTATTTCAGCCCTCGGCGCAGGATTGCCAGGATGGGGAGACGCTGAGAGTAGGGCATGCACATTACAGAACAGGGAACTTAATAGATGGACAAGAAACTGAACAAGAGATAATAGGGAGGACAATGAAGGTGACAAGGAGGAAGACCAGGCAAAGTACCATGTGCTGATAGTGACTTGGGTACTTGATCGAATGGCGTAAAGAGGGCGGTTCACTGCAAGGGATCGAGCCTGGACTAATGGTCTTGCAAGCTACACTGACTATTATTAGCAATGTAACGGAAGCGCCGATATTTTTTCGCGGGCGCGTCCAACCATGCACAGCAGAGTCAGTTTGTCCAGTGGCTGCGTCACCGACCGTTGGAGCCGGACGATGATTACCTCGAGGTCTGCCCGTCTAAAAGCAAACCAGACCGAGACAGCTGTAAATTGGTCAACGTGGCCCAACAAATCGCCACAATGTCGCATCCAGAGTCTTGTCTCGGCCACCTTTTCTCTCGTGTCTTGTCTCTGTAGCAAGTTGGGATGAGCTGGACGGACCACATGGTGCGTTCCACCAAGAGGTTCGTGTGAGTGGGCCTAAGCGGCCCATCGGCCGAGTGCCTGAGAAAAAAGTTTTGTGTCTGACAGGCACGTTCCCTTTTAGCAGGCGTTTATTCCATGTCAGGAAAACTAGTTAACAGATTTTTCCCTCTGGTTTCCTTGTGGCGATCCAATAGGATCCACCAATGCCGAGCGCCGCGAGTGGTGTGTACTCGCGGCTTGCAACGGTGATGATCGGATAGTTCGTGCTAAGCAACGGAGAGAATTTTCACGTTGCGCATGTAAGTGAAGACACTAGAATGAAGTTTTCAAACTTGCCTCTGGGTGGATTGTGTATATATAGCTTCGTGGCTCACCTCCTCCTTTGCCAATGCCAGTCATCATCACCTCGCCACTTACACACACACGCAAACCCATAGACATCCTCTACAAACCACACTACACTTCAATTTTGTTTACAATACCCAAAACTTACCTCAATACCGCCAAAATGTACTCGGCCGAGCTCGTCTATATTGCCCCCTACCTCATGTCTGCTGAGAAACGCCGCGAGGTCAAACGCATCAACAGCGCCGCCTCGTCGCGCAAGAACTCGGTCGTTGACGCCACGTCCGCATCCAGCTCCGCCGTGCCTTCCACTGCTCCGTCTCGCGCCGCGTCCCCGGCTCCCAAGAAGGAGAAGAAGAAACACGACCCGTTGCGCTCCGCTGTCAAGATGAGCCTGAACTCCCGCATCCTGTAGGGAAGCAGCTTTGTCCCCTCATCTACACACACACACACACACGCACGACACAGCTGCCTGAGCCTGCTTATCGCGTTTCGGACATGCCACGGCGGTTCATCGCCCTGACGACTTACGATTTGTTTCTGGAAACAACATGCATTGGGAAAATAGATAAGAGTATAAAAGATTTGGATGTTTGCTTTGAATTGACTCTGGAGACATAATGATAATATATAAATACCTTTTAATAATAATTCATCTTCGCAATTTGAAAGTCGCGTTCTAGACAATGATTGTGACGGGTTGCGCCCGAGTTCCACACACTCTGATCTTGCTTTCTAGGAATTCTGACTAGTAATTTCGAAAAATTAACATCAGCAACAACCAAGTACATGTACCAATTGTACCATGCAGGGCAGGGCTGCTATTCAAATTTGTATTCAAAACAGGTCGTCTTCATTCATCCTAGAAATGTACGCTACGCTTCTTGTTCACCTTCTGCTCCTTGTCATCTTTCCCGTGCAAGAACGACCCCAGCGCGTTGCCAAATTTGTACGCTCGGCCATGCTGCTGCTGCGCCTGCTGCGGGGGCAACGTATAGCTGCTCCCTGACGGTCCGGTACTGCTTGGCCGCGGAGGCATTGCTTGTCCTGAAGCGCCGCCAAACCATTGTGAGCCGCCCTGCGTGCCCGGCCTCGGCGGCAGCGATGGTGTGTCGGCCGGTAGGCCGTATTGCCGTCGCAGACGCTCCGTCTCCTCCTCAATCTCGGCCTGCTTGCGCCGCTGCCGGTCCTCTTCCTCACGCTCCAGCATGGCCTGGATACGTCGCTGCTCCTCCTGGTCGCGGCGTTCGCGGTCGCGGGACTTCTGTTCCTCCTCAGCCACCATGGCTTGCAGCCGTTTTGTCTCCGCGTCAATCGCTGCCTGCTGCTTAGAATCACGACCCGGCGGCGACGAGATTCCTGGACGTGGTGCAGAGTTTAGTGGTGGGCCTCCGCCAAGAGCTCCCGATGCGTATGCCGTTTGCGCCGGTGGACGGCCGCCGCCTCCGAGCGACGGCCGGGGCGGTGATGTGGGGATAGCTTGTGTTTGTGCTGACCCAACGGGTACAGGGGCACCGGATGTGTTGAACGGGTTGTTCTTGGGCATCAAATACAAGTCCCGAATGACCTCGGCGCTGAGCAGCAAAACGACCTCCAGACCCTTCCGATCCTCAACCTCGACTCGCGCCATGTTGGGCTCATATATAACAACTGTACTCTCGTGTTTTGATGCGTGGTACATGGCGACTGTAATATCCGGTTCTTTGCTCTTCTTGCCGCCGAAGCTACGGCCTGTCATATAGCACGTCATATCCTTGCTAAGCCTCGAGTCCCTTTTCCATCGAAATAGCACTTTCGGGGTGAGTTCGGTAATCCCCGCTGACGAGCTTTCCTGGTCAATCTGTGAGGTGCTGGGGGGCTTGAATGTCTGCTCGGGTATCTCAAATTCCCACGAGTCTGATTTGAAACTGCTCCTCTGTAGTTTGAGCGGGATGGTCTGGTCGGGATTGTACAGCGACACTGGCAGCACGTCAGGCGTCATGGGCACTACCGTGGACACACCTCCCTGGGCGCGCAACTCAGCCGCTGACAGCGACGGTTGCGTCCACTGCGGTTGGATCAGCACCTCGCCGTAGATGACAGAGGCATAGTGGACGTCGACGAGGCCAAGCGCGTACTGGTTCTTGGATTGGCCTACGGAAGGACGCTTCAAAAGATACTCTGCAGTGGGCTCGGAGCCGTTATGAGTAAAGTACAAGAGCGTGTGCAAAGGGTTGTCGGACGAAGGTTGGAAGCGAAACGTGGGGAGGCTGTCGTCAAGCATGGCGAATAGCTCGTTGCGATGGTTTGCGGTCGGACTGGTGTCTGCTCAAAATGTATAGGAATCGCGAGACGGGGGATATAATGCTAATAAGGAAGCCGTCAAGTCATCAAAGCGTAGAGTCGTCGTGGCCGCTGCGAACAAAGGAAGATGCAGCATGACGACTTCTCGTGGCGCGGCAGCCCAACTGGCTGCGGGCACATGCTCCGCCACGCTGTCGACATAGTGGGCCTGGATATGCCGTGAATAGCACATGTATGTCGGGGGCGCAGGGTTTCTACTATCCGCGCACACTCCAAACGCTGTGATGCAAATTCATCCCGTAGTCTCCATTGCCGGGTTGTCATCGTAAGGACCGTCATTGGGTCACACTCGAGTTGTGTCCGGAACTTGGAGTGCTGCGTCCTGTCGAGCTCGTCGCCGTTGGCGGCTGCGACCGAGGCACGGATACCAGCAGCAGCAGGCCAGCGCAACAGGAATACCAATGGCGACACCGATAAAAAACCCGCGGAGGATCTTGTCCGAAACACCGCCGGTTTCTGAGAGTCGCTTGAGTTGAAAAAAAGGATCCGACGAAAGACCCGTGTCGTTGATGCCATTCGTCATGGATCTCGCGGCCATTGCAGACAGTGCCGACAGAAATGTCATTTCAAGTCCTTCTGTCGGTTTGAAGAACAGTATGGACGCAGAAGTTAGGCAGCGCACCCCTCTCGCTCGCTTCTTGAGGGGATGCCTTGTCTGGGGAAGTCAATACAGTTATTCAGCCCATCTTGGCAGAGCGTGTCAATTGCACTGCCCAAGAGAAGCTAAGCAGCCACATTTTGTAGAATGGCGCGTGCTTCCGCCACGTTTTGTCATGAGTCTGCAAACGGTTGGCTGGTTGAGAAGAGCTGTCGCGGCTTGTGCTAGTACATTCTAAATAAAAAGGAATAACCGACGAACCTTAAATTTAGCGTTTATTAAGCTGCGAGGTGTCAACGAATAAGTCAGGAACCAACGGCATCCGCAATAACTCGAGTGGCAAACATAATAGCTCAGTTATAAAATTGGTCCAAATATAGAATAACGAGGAGGCTGCTTCTTCATTGTCGCCTACCGACCACCAAGTTACCCCAATAGACTCTTCTCGCTGTTGATTTGTTCCTGCTTGTCTCTATTCTTTCGTTACCGAGGTCTCCTGAGCTACCCTGCGTATTTCTCGAACGAGCGGCGCGACGTCATCGGGCTTCACTGGTAACCGATGTCCGGCATCCCAAATAAGGAGCGATCGGGTCTCGGGATCACAGTATTCGTGGTATAATTTTCGATGCTCATCCAGCCCTGGATCCCCCAAACCGTGCATGTGGATCGTTGGTATCGTCAATATGTGGCTGCCGCGCGGCTCCTTCTCCCTCATCGACGAGAAATCCGCGGCGCTGGGCAACGATTCATTGGCCATCCTCTCGGGCTCCAAAGATACGGGTGGTCCTCTCCCCGCGAGTAGCACGCCAAAGCAAAATCGTGGCAGCCGGTCGGTGGCCTCGGCTACCCGGTTCTGCTGCCGGTACAGCAGGCTGGCACACATCTTGGCACCCTGGCTGAACCCCAAGAGCGCCGTCCAGGGGCCGCATCCACCGCGCTCGTCGTCGTCGGCCACGGTCGCCTCGATGGCCTGGTCCAGCCGTGCCACCGCTTCATGAGGCGTGATGTCTGGGTGAGAGGGCCCAAAGCGCAGCCACCGCTTGAAAGGGCCGCTCCTAGAGAAGACCTCAAGCACGTCCGGGCCCGGCTCGGAGGGGAAGGGCGCCTCCACATAGACGAGACGGTACTCGTCTTTGAGGTCCTCAGCGATTTTGCGACATTGTATCTTGAAGATGCTGGCATTCGTACCACCGCCATGGAGACATAGGATCCGTGGCAAGCTGAGCGTTGGGTCGTATATCTCTGCCATGCTGTTGTGCTTTCAGTCTAGTTTCAAAATGCAGGGTGATTGCGGAGCAATCACCCTCAATAGTGCTGGATTAAGGGCAAGATACACTAAGCGTATTCGTATACACTTTGAAGGGGCTAGCTAACCTAAGAATAACCTAACCGACAATGATTGGAAATGAGGCGAGAACCTCAGCATTGAATGTAACAACTCAGTCTCCAAAATACGTACTTATCTGTTCTATTTTAACGAATGAGAATAAGACATGCGGGTAACAAAAAAGAAGGCTACCTAGACAGCTAAGTACACCCTATTTCAAAGGGTTACTAGTAACCGGAAGGAAGAGAAAGAGAAGAAATTTAAAAATAAGAAGTCAGAGAAAGATGAACAGAATTAGAAAAAATAAGTAATAAGTTGAGAAATAGTAAGAAAAAGGAAGAGATTAGTATTCCTAATAACCGCCGGTTTATTTCGGGTTCAGTGCCTACATGCCACTTGAGTCCGCCCACCCTAGGTCTGGCATGAATGACCCCACACAGCCACAAGTGGTTGGCTAGCAGGGACTCGAAGCATCGAGCTTACAATGTCGCGAGCGCTTCGTCAAACAGCCACCTTACCCGCCAAGTTGCAGGAGACGAGTTTTTGACCTCTCGTTATCATGCCTCGCACTCGAGCCCAGACGGCGGCTTTTGAGGGCCGCAGGTCCTCTGCATCAGGCGACAAAGGTGCGCGTTAAATTACGCTGAGCGATGGCCTGGCTGATACTAAGCAGGCACGCACCAGCTTGGAGTTCAGCAAAGAAGACAATCTCCCATTCGAATCGCGTCCGCCCGACTTCAACAGCCGCTTTCGCCGGAATACACTACCCAGCCAAGCCTCTCTCCTGTCAAGGACGGAACGAAACAGCTGGCGCGAAGCAAGAAGCGACGCGGCGCCGCCGCCGACGATACAACACCAAAGCCCTGTCCGAAGCGACCTCGCCGATCTAGCAAACTCCCCCGCGTCAAAGACGTCGCAGCTTCACTTGAGGAAAGGGGGGCTGCAAGTAATCCTATCGGATACTGGGCCCGCGAAAAGAAGTGGCCGCAAGAATACTTCGTGACCAACATGGATGATCTACTACCCCGAAAGAAATCTGTACCATCCCTTACCCGAAAGCGGTCGACTTCGAATTCTGCTACATCGTCAGCATCGAGCAATCAGCGATCGAGAGAAGAGAAGAGCGCTCCGTATCGGGACCCTCGTTACGAGATACTTCTCAATACGAAGAGCAGCTTCATGACCAAATCCAGCTTGGGTCTTACCCGTACAAGCAAAGTTCTTTCCACGACACTTCTCGAGACAAAACAGATTGTGCCAAAAAACACGGCATTCCGAGATGAGGCCTTTGAATATACTTGCCAAATGATTCACAACAGAAATGAAGCGCGAGTCGTACAGGACATTTCAAGACTCATTGTTCCTTCAGCAGAGGGCCTTGCATTTAGATCGAAACATCTCAGAATTCTAGCAGAGAGCGTCAATGATGGTTGGAGCAGCTCGATCCCATTGACTGGTACGCGACCTCAGCCCGACTACGCAGTTGGGTTTGCAAGAGACGCATTTACCGACGACCAATTAGCCAAGATGTCGCCGTTCGTAGGCGACCTTGTCGGTGGCGACAAGTCTTTCTTCATGGCGACGTACTATATATACTTCCCATTTTTAACATGTGAGGTAAAGTGTGGAGCTGCAGCGCTTGATGTCGCAGATCGTCAGAATGCCCACAGCGCGACTATTGCTGTACGGGCTGTCGCTAAACTGTTTCGTGCTGTCAAGCGAGAACGCGAAGTGCACCGTCAGATCCTCGCCTTCTCTGTCTCCCATGACGACAGGTCAGTGCGGATATATGGGCACTATCCCGTGATTACTGGAAACGACATCAAGTACTACCGCCATCCAATACATGAGTTCTCTTTTACGGCATTGGATGGTAGAGAAAAATGGACAGCCTTTTGTTTCACGAAAAACGTCTACGACTCCTGGGTGCCTCCGCATTTCAAGAGCATCTGCTCAGCGATCGATATGCTGCCACTCCCATTTGACGATTCCCCACCTGTATCGACTGGGTTGTCAGTATCGACTGGGCTGTCTCCGAGCCCGCAGATCCATAATCCATCGGAGCTGGATTCTTCACTGCAAATTGAAGAGGACTCACCAGGCAGCAGCAATTCGGGCAGAGGCAAAAGGAGGAAGGGTAGGAGATAGCGCTTGTCAGGGACACAGCGGGCCAGACGGCAGGGTATGGTAGAAGGGGTGCGGGCTGGGTGGTATTGGTATTGGCATTACTATTGAACGGCGGGGGAATCCCTCAAAAGGGCAAAGAGCGCATCTAGGGGCTATCTTGAATACACACGGAACAATAAAAGGAAAATTCCAATATTTAAGCTAACACGAAGGATCTGGTCGATTGACAACAAGCCTAAGCCTGGAATGGATACTAGCGCCGCGCTAAACTTTCTAGTTCATCAACAGGTAGAACGGTAGAACGGTAGAACGGTCACCAGTCCCATCAACACCAGCTCAAAACTCGTGATAGCCTCCCCCAGCGTATTCCTACATCAAGAACACCCTCAACAGCCTTGAGACCGCCTCAAAGCAGGTATCAGGCAGCCTCTCGGCCACCGACGCAGCTATAGACGATCCATAGGATGCAAGCAATGCAGGGGATAAGGCGATGTAATAAATGTCATCATCATAAATTCAGGGGCTGGAACAACGCCTTAGAAGTGCACAATCAATACCGTCGCCGCTGCCGCCGCCGCCGGCTTTGATGACGCCGCCGGCTGAGCCATAGGAAAATTATCAGCCGCCGGAAGAGAAAAAGAAAAAGAAAAGTAAAGCGCCATAGTAGCGAAAGCCAACATTTTTTTTTCCTGCGTACTTGTGAAGGCCAACACAAAGCTCGAGGTTTCTGACAAAAAGGAAAAGGATCAAAGATTCGCGAGAACATGGTAGACCCTATTATTAGACCGCATTTTTGGTGGGTTATATTATCGCCCCTATCCATTCTTCAAGGCTTACACCAACATGTAAGGCTCCATCTTCCAGGCTCCTTCCTACTCGCCAACGTTCGGCCGCCGAATTGAAACCATTTCAATTCTAACTAGTTTAGTTAGAGAACATTTCTGCGGATAGACGGATGGAGGCGAGTTGTCATCTCATTCGCTAGTTACCTGTCTGCTCCCCATAATTATAACCGCCTCATCACCATTCCGCCCCGCCAATATCTGCAGGCCGAAATTCTTTGGCTGCCGTGAAAATGTTGACAGATTGGTCCGAGGTTGCGAGACTTCCCTCAGGGGAGCTGGGGTGGAGGGATCGCTTCAATGAAACCAAGGTCACTGGTTCCTCCACCAAGGCTTATTGTCTTTGATCTTTCATCCCCATGTGCTCTCATCATCATGCGTAATAGGAAGCTGTTGCTGGGCGCGGCATCCATTGTATTCGTATGCATAGCCGTGTACTCAGCCCGCCATTTCCTACCCCACCTACCAGTGTCTACATTTTTTGATCGCCATGGCTATAACAGCAGCCGACTGACGACGTCGCAGCCGGTCGCAGATGGTCTGTACACATTTCTTGTCCTTCCTTTTGCGTGCTGTTTACTTGAGGAAAAAAACATTAATCGTTGTACAGGCGTTGTCCTCTCTGCTGCGAATGTAACCACCTACCTCGATTCCATTCTCGACTCGGCGTCGACAGCCTTGCCACGACTGCACTGCCCAGCTTTCGATGCAAAAAGATATGACTATCTACGTTCCAGCGGCTCATGGCAGTCAACCCAGGGGGAACTGAAATATTTCTTCGCACTCGACCTCCGAAACTGCCTTCCACTGCTTCCGCGACTGCTCGGAAGCATTGTCGAGGCCGTCAAGTTCCTTGGGCCTCAAAGTTGCGCGCTCTCCATAATAGAGGGTAATTCCCCTGACGGCACAGCCGATGTTCTGGATGCTCTGAAGCTGCGCATGGAACAAATGGGCCTTTCATACTACTTCAACACATCGACGATTGATCCTTCGGTCGGCGAGAGGATTACCAAGCTAGCAGAACTGCGCAACCTGGCTTTGGCGCCACTCTTAACTCACCCGCGGGCAACAAGCAACACGACCGTCACATTTCTAAACGACGTTGCTGCTTGTACCGATGATATCCTCGAACTCATCTCCCAGCGTCACACCCTCAACGCAGACATGACCTGCGCCATGGACTGGACGTACGTCGGCAAAGATCCCACATTTTACGACGTCTGGGTGGCGCGCGCCATGAACGGGGATACGTTTTTCGAAATCCCACCGGACGGCAACTGGAACTCGGCGTGGAACCTGTTTTGGAACGCCGGCGAGACGAGCAGTCGATTTTTCCAGCAGCGGCCCTTTCAGGTATTTGCTTGCTGGAACGGCGCCGTTGTATTCTCGGCGCAGCCCATTCTGGAAGAAGGGCTGCGCTTCCGGGAGGCAAATACTACCCGGAAGGAATGCCCCCAGGGCGAGCCGCAGCTGTTTTGCAAGGATATGTGGTTCAAAGGGCACGGCAAGATTGCAGTGATTCCAACGGTTAATCTGGAGTATTCGGACGACAAGGCGAAATGGATCAAAGATGCAAAAGGTTACACGTCGGAGAATGTGGCTAAACAGGACGCAGCTGGAGATGTCATTGAGTGGCAGCAGAAGCCGCCTGGGAAGGTTAAGTGTATGCCTGTATGGGAAAACCAATACTGGGTGGAATGGAATGAGACATTGGAGAATTGAATATTTTAAGTACTGTCGGCGTTGAGCCCAGGTTCTATGTCACTTCGCGGCTCTACTCATACTTACATGCTCTCTGCTAGTTGGAGGAATCGCATTATGTCCCGCTGGCAGAGGAAAAATCAGTGGCCTTTTAAAGGCCAGTTCCCTCAATTGGAGTGTTGTATCTTTCCATTTGCCGTTCCCTGAGCTGGTTGCCACGACTGATCTAGAGCCACCACCGGCGTGTCCCAAGTACACAGTACAACAGCTTGACACAATTCCTACGATACGCCGAAGGCCCCTTTCAATACATAAGGCGACCAACCTTGACCTGTGTTGGTATGCCAGCGGCCTTCATACCCATTTCCACCAACTTCGGCAGAAGCAAGTCAGTGCCTACGCATATTAGCTAGGGTCTCCCTTGACCTGCAAACCATGTATTTGACTGTACCTGGTGCGCCGATGAGTGATACGCAAACTGGAAGTGACTCCTCTTTATATGTCACGGTTGACATGTATGGAATGTCACCCACTGTGTAGGTAGTCAGCTTTGTAAGAGTAACGATGTTATACTATGGCTTTATAAGAACTGACCTGGGGCGGTAACCTCGGGCGCGCGAAGCATGGGAGACATGTTCAACGCAGCGTATCCGCTCAGAAGTGAGTAGGGCCTGAGATAATTAGTGGCTTTTTTGCCTTCAAAACGAGCAGCACATACGGCAGAGGAGCGTCTCGGTAGTTTGGCTGCCCAGCTTCAATAGGAAGGGCCATGATAACGACTGTTTCTGGTGAGTCTGCCTTGAAGACTTTGTCTAGCATCCAGTGGCGGTAGACCTCTGAGCGACGCCAGCACTCATTACGCTCCTCTTTGGTTACGGCCTTCCCGACCTCCCTGAACGTGCGTAAGTACGACGGCGGATACGAAAAACGATTATTTGCTGCGATGAAACTTACCACTGCCAGTGAAGAGCTCTCTGGACAAATGCTGGCCTCCCGAATTTCTGTGCGTATTCATTCCTAAAGCTTTCAAGGCTATAATACTGATCATGATAGAAGGGATAGATTCCAGCCTAACACACTTTAGTATAACGTGTTTAGCAGGGCTTAATGGAAGTCTCACAGTTTCAAGGTATTTAGCAATATCCCCATGGATTTCACCGTCAGGGCAGTCTCGTTTCCACAACTCTGCCAAGGATATATTTTTTCGAGAAATATGGAGCGCAGACTCTAGTCCAGAAATGAATCGCTCGATCTGTTGGGTTTGCTGAGTGTTCGTTGTTGGGAGGTAATCTAGAGGATAGAGAACCTCGACAGTCGGCTATGGGAGCATGTAAGTACATGGGCGTATATCGCTGATTTGTGGAAAGACAAACCGAATGTGGGTTGCGCAGCAAACCTGAATCTCCATACCATGTAGTTATAAAGTCAGTGAACTTGGAAATATGTCTGCCAAAGAATACTGGCATGTCAAATTCCCTGAAGATACAACTATGTCAGCAGAATTTCACAGAGCAAGGGCGGATGTTGCATACGGGAAGTAGCCGACGACACCGTCTGTATTCATGATGCCAGTCGAAGGGCGGATGGAGAAACAACCGTTGTAAGAAGCTGGCTTACGACCACTCCCGTTGGCTTAAAAAAAGAGTTAGCAGGTTCCGTGGCTGTGGGCAATATCCATGGTACACACTATCAGACCCGACTGAGAAGTCTAGCCATTCATACGAAGCAATGCTGGCTGCGCTCGCGTGGCTGCTTCCCGACGGTACCTGATACCCGTCGGCACGGGGGTTGAATGGGGCCGTAAATTCGACACATTCGAGAGGCTCTTCTCTCATTATCATTGCTTGCAACTTGACCTTCCCGACTATGACAGCGCCTGCATCGATAAGCGTCTGGATGCAGGCAGCGTTCTTTGTCTTCGCTGGATAAAGGTCGGTCCAGGCTCGGTTACACAAAGTCGTCTTGTGGCCAGCGACGTCGATATTGTCCTTAACGCTGATCCTAGCACCAGCGAGGGGACGATCCTTGGTTGGCTTGTAATAGCAGCGCGAAGGCACCACGATTCTTCCATTCACTCCAGCATATGGAGCGTCGACTGCAATCAAAGTAAGCGAAGTTAGCTTTGTGTGGATTATGCTAGCTATAGCGTGGCTCGCTGATCTGTCACTTATCTCGAAGAGTTTATGGCTGAAGGCTTGAGCGCGACCATAAAACAGGCATTGAAATCGTGGTAGATTCTCCACGGTTGCCAGGTCCTGCCTGATGAGTAGACATACGGGCCCGGGGCAGCCAGATACGGTGAATGAGACTGATTACTTTCTAGGACGCAGTGCCGCCGGACATTCCACGCCTTCAGTTCCTCAAGAGCATCGGGCTCGATAGCGAGGTCTGTTTCATCACTTCCGTAGAAGATCAAGTTCGTTGCGAAATCGGGTTGAAACACATCATCTTGGCTGAGTGTGTTGGCTCGAAATTCGCGGAGCGACGATACGGAAATGATTTCGCCTGGAGTGGTCGCATAGACAAGGGCAAGGGTATGGCTGTTGGCATCAAACCCTGCACCATCGAGAAAGTTCTACGAAACGGTCATTTAGTGTCAGGGCGAATGCCGTGTCTCTTGGTGACGATATGCTTGGAGAGGAGGAAGAGGGAAACAACCGTCACACCAGTTCGATATAGGGGCGGCAAAAGCAAAACCAACCTGTGGATTCAAAATTAAGAGATAATCGACGTCGCCAACTGTTATTTCGACATCTCGGTGGACGGTCACTGGCTCGAAATTCGGTGACTTCATGATGGTGGTTCGAGATTGGTATTGACGGGTAGAACCTTGGGATGACTAGTTATGAGGGGAAGAGCAACCAAGTCGGGCCAAAAAAAAAAGGCAAATCAACCTACAGCCCTGCAGTAATGCGGCCGCAGGACGTAGCAAGTGGGGAGTGACATAACAGACCACCAGTACCATTCTTTACGCGAAACAAGAACTAACAGTCTTAGCAACCGAAATGCGTGTTAAAATGCGTGATAAACATAGTTAATGAATAGTCGATTTATATTCCAAAGTGTGTTTTTGATTAAAAAGCAGTTATTATAGAGTAGTAGCAGGTCTTGTAAAAACTAAGCTCGATTTCGTGTTGTATTATTAGTAGCGGTCTGTTTTTGTTGGTTCATCAGCCCCTCACTTTGTGCTAACTTTCGCTATCTGCAGCCTGCTTGGTATGTCACGCAAATAGAGAGGGGTGGATGGAAGGAGCGGTTTAGTAACGTGCTCGATCCAAATGAAAAATATATTGCCAAACGGTTGATTTAACATGATAATATAAACCGTTTCAGGCTGCATAGCAATGTTCGCCTTTCGCGCTCAGCAAGGTACTAGACCATTGCCTTCCGGCCGGTAGCGCCTGTAACACTTGTCTGAGCACTGACATGGTGGAAAGCACCGATCACCGCTTTCCACCAGCTAGCACAAAAGTTAAAAGCGGCTAACGGCTATTTCAAGTCACTATAGGAACATTAACCGGGAACATTGACCAGGAACATGAAAACACGCCATTGACCGACTGCAGGCTGCAATCCTACAGAGCGGTGTGGCAGGTAGGCGTTGCCAAAACGAATTACACACTCACACAAGGAAGAACTTTGGAAGCCTGATGAGCGAATTAATTATTCCATCATGCCAGGAATACATAGCGAACAAGGCTCTAGAAATTGGGGATATTCACAGGAGCTATATTCCTGATTTCATATAAATATAATACACATAGAGGTACTCTTCTCCCGTCCATAATCAGATGGCTCTCAGTATACATTCAGGGATTAGGCGCCACCGGTCCCAGTTCCAGCCACACGCAGCGACAAGGTCTGACATGTCGATAAGAACATTCCCTTTCCAGTTCCTCGCTAGCGATGTCAATGTGTGCGCAAAGCCCGCATCCCGAAAAAACGCTAGCGAATCTGCCAGCGCCGCCTCGTCGTTAGGGGCCTCCGGGATATACTCGTAGATAAGCGCCGTGTATGTGAGATCCCGCTGTAGCTCTCTTAGCTTGTGATTAAGCGTAACAGGGCGAGGATGCCATTCGGGCGGCAACTCCTTGTCTAGCCTTGTTCCTGTGATACGCGTCCAGCCATAGCACCGTCTTATACGCGGCATCCAGGTAAGCTGCCTCTTGTGGTCTAGGAAGGCGGCATCGGCCGCTATTGCCTGGGCGTTACGCTGCCGGTGCTCGTTAGAGAATGCGAGCATGTTGTTTAATGCCACGTCCCATGTGCTCGGGTGTGGCTGCACAATCACCGGGCCGACGTCATCTGTGAGCCTAAACGCTGCCTGCATCATCTGTAGAACGGCGACATTCTGGCACTCACGCTGTAAAGCGTAGTAATACCACGGCTCAGGCGGTTCCTGGTCCCAGAACTGGCATTTATCCCACATATTAGCTAAGTTCCCGACTGACTGTGTGAATACAAGACGATTACTTACAACCTTTAAGACAAAGGGCCCGCGGTCGCCGAAGCAGACTTTCCAATTATAGCCATCGAAGCCGCCGTCTATGTCTGGCGTGTTCTTGCTTGGATAGTGGACGACTTGCCGGTACTTGTGGGGATGAACAGGCCCGATAATCGTCATAGTGTTAATATCAAAGGGGCAGCGGCGTAGGCGTGGGATTTTAAAGTCATCGGGACTGATTTGGCGTGTACGGAGGTTGCTATTTTTAGAGTTCGGGTCGCTTGGTTTGCCGTCTTTTGTTTCGCTGTCTCTTGTTTCGCCGACCTTTGCTTTGCCGTGTTTCGTTTCGCCGTCTTGCGCTTCCGGGTGATGTAGTTTACCGTCTTCGGGGTTGACGCCTTGGAAAATGAGGCTCAGTGGTGTATCATCGTTTTCATCGAGCTCGTCGCCTTTGTTGTCGTCAGGACTGTCGCAGGGCATCAACCTGTCATCCAGAAATTCTTGGGCCATCAGCATGACACCTTCGGCGTAGGACCTGCGTGGTCGGGGACGAGCGGCCCTCTTGGCGGCGATCGCGAGGATTATGTCCTGCTGCCAGTTGCTCGACGATAGTGATGAGGCGGCTCGTTTCGCTGGGGGGGCGGACTCGCGCTCGAGGGGAGCCGCCCTCTTCGCCGCGACACTCGCCTTCATGGAGTGATGATGGAAAAGACGCTGGGAGAAGAAACGCAAGGTTTGCTCGTCGGTTTATCGACGGCGGAATGTGAACTTGAGGACAAAGGTTAGCGAGGAAGTTATTGGGACGTTTAGGAGGTACACAAATATTGATTAGATAATCAGCTCCGCTAGCCAGGCCTTGTTACCTGGGTACGCGACTGGGTTGCTGGGGCAGCTAGCTACCAGAAATAGCCTTATGAACAAAAGTTCGGAAGTTTCGCTTGTCGCCTCCAATAGGAAGCTGACACGCCTTATTATCAACCAGCTCGGCATCCTTCCGTTTATTCACGGGTGTGACTCACTTGTCTCTTGCGGGCGGAAGACCCTGTTGAACGGTACTTTTCAGTCAAATTCATGCCAGCAAGGTGTGGATCCCGCTTTTGCTACAACGCACCTGCGTCACGTAGCAAAAGTTGGATCCACACCTCTGTTGGTAAACACCATGAGCTCCAAAAAGCGAGGGTTCAAGAAGCTCCTTAACTCGCACATCAAGTTCTCGCAAAAATGCCTAGCAAGGTTCTTCATAGCCTCACAGCCGGCTCCGTCATGGAACGCCTTGACACTACACATGCTATTACCGGAACAAATAGCCGGGTCCAGACGCCCGTTTGGGTTGATGAATGGTTTGACTGGAAGGACTTTACCTACGACAATATTAAACGCATCTATCACGACCAGCTGAACAGGTTGTCCATCGGTGACAGCCACGAGTCCGAGATCCTGGAGCACGACCGCATAGTTTTTAATGAGGCGTCAGTCGATGATTTGCTACGAAAGTTTCCCGTGTCGGTAGTCAACTGGGCCTTACACTCGGCCACAAGCCAGAACGAGACGCCGCACTTTGGTCGGGGTAGCAGGTGCCCTGCTATACTCTGGCAACATGCCAGATACATACCGGACTGGTCTGTCATTGTAACGGAGCGGGTCAATGTGCTCCCTGGCGATTCTAAGATCAGTTCCAAGTGGTGGCCTGAGATGCTGAACAACGAGTCGTACCACGTTGAGTGGACAAATGTTGTCTCCCAGGTGGCCACCTACATGGCGGCATGTTCCTCTCGATATGGCTTTATCGTGACGGATCGCGAGGTCGTCGTTCTCAGAATTACTCGTCAGGCTGTTGGCCCCGGTCTGGCCACCAGTAGATCACCGCGGAGAATCACTCGGCGCAATATCATGTCAGATTCGTCGGTTGCAGCAAGCAGCAGCTCTCCACGGATTCCATCGAGCCAGGACTACGTTGATGACAACCCGCTCAACTGGGACTATTGGGTCAGCTACAAGACAATCCACTGGCAAAAGTCCTATCGGTCCGGCGACAAGCTCACGCCCCAGCTCGCGCTATGGGCTCTTGCTATGATGGCCTCGCATGGCGATAATCACATCGACTACTCGTACCCGGGGCTCGACACGTGGCGCGCCGAGGGCCTAAAGAGGTTTGTGCACAACACGTCAGGCGAAGTCGTCACGGAGAAGAGGACAAAGATGGTATTCGAGGGGAGCAGCCCCTTTTCTGCCGGCGTGGGCACCGCGCAGGGGACCAATACCGCCGCCGCCGCGGAGGACGATATTTATTCTGACGACAGGCAGGGTGCCAGCGTCACGTCGCATGTGGACATGCACATGCACGACGATGGGTACGCGGAGCCGGAGCTGCCGCAACTTCGAAGTTCTGCGTTAGCCGAGACTAGCCCGTCCTTCTACGGCGAATGGGTCGAGGTTGAAGTACGCAAGAAGGGTGACTTGTACGAGTACCGGGCTAAGGGCGCTAAGAAGGACCGCAAATCGTCGGCCCGGGGCGACTGGGTTCAAGTGGAGGGCGGCGCCTTTGCGCTCCAAGGCAGAAAGCATACATACTATACTCAAAACTTTCCTAAATCTTAAAGGTTATTAAAAAGAAGGTTAGGTAGTATAATACTTTTTTTTAAGGTTAATATATTCTTTTCTTTTTTTTTTCTTTCTTTTCTTTTCTTTTCTTTCTTTTCACCTTATTTAATATTATTAATAATTAAGAAGCTATTAAGTCTATATTGCTAAATAAGGTATTAGGTATTAACGGGATTACCTATGTGTTTAATGTAAAACGCTTGACTTCCTTCTTCCTTGCCTGATAAGATAAGCTTGTCAATCAATGCATACTTCGAAAAGGTTACTGCCCTGCTCAATTCAAGGAGACAGCCACAGTGTTACTACATACCCTGGAAAAAGACGACTATTCGCAACCAAAAGTATATCGCCCACTCGCCTTTGCCAAAGACTCTAGACGGCGTGATCCCAACCCGTCGGACGTGTTTGGCCGACACTTTCAACCTTTAACCTCGCCATGGAGGCGGGGAGCATCCGGTTTTCTATGGTATTCTTGTGATTTCATACTCTGCCCCTAGAGCGACATGAGCAATTCACACTTTGATATCTGCTTAATAAAATTCGTCCATCTGAATGATCAGTCGAGAATCGACACCACCCTCTGCAAACATTTTTAGCTCGTCCATACAACGACCAACGTTGTCATACGCAGTCATGCTGTTGTCAAGGTTCGTGTACCATGCAACTCGTGCCTCTGCGGCCCGCCAGCCGAGAAAACACGTAAACACGTAATCCGATTGACTGTGCGCTTCGCCATCATCAGGGGACCACCCCCCTCTATTAAAGAGAGTGCACGCTGGCGGCGGCGTACCAGACATTTCCCATCCCCGCGTGATTCTGTGGGCTCTTTGTGTCAGCTTCGCACGGGCAAACGGCAATGTCATGGCTGTGGAAAGGAGAAATGCGAACAAACCGTCGGAATCCTGTAAAGGCATACTCGAATAATTCTCCGCGCCGCGCGTCGTGCGGTACACGAAAGGTAATGACCTCAATGTGCAAAAGTTCGCCGAGAGAAACCCTCTCATCAGCCTCCTCCGACCGCTGCCACGACACACTTTGTTGGACTGGCGGTGCATCCAAATAGGACGAACCGTCGTCGAAGCGCTCGAGTATTTCGCAATATTCAGCCTTAGTCGTGGCCCTGATACTCTCGTTTCCCCAAACTGCGATTTTATTTAGTTAGTAAATCGTCATCAATTGGTCCCTCTAGATGCAAATACCAGTGCAGACGCCAAATTCATGTGCCGAGTCAGCCACACGAACCCAGAACCCAGAATGATAGCCAACTAGCTGTCGGATTTTATAGTCGAGCATCTTTCCAATTCGCTGCTTGATCTTGTCCAGCGACGATCGAGCCTTGAGCCAGGCGATGTCCACCACGTAGGGCTCCGGCAATACACGCCCGGGATTTGGGCGAGGACCCAATCGCCACAGCGCCGTGTAGTGAGCATTGTGTCTCATGTAAAGTTGCGCTTGAGAGACAGCCATTGGATCCGTTGGATAGCATTTGTATTCAGTCAGGTGGGCGGTGGCAACATCCATATTCTCGTTCAGAGCGGACCTGCGAATGCCACGCTGTAATGCACCGGCCAGTGTGCCGACCTGTGGTTGAAGTGGCGCTGGTTCGAGTGATGGGGGCTCGTGGTTGTCCTGGTATATCATTCGAGGACTGATGCTGAACTTCTTTTTGACATTTGTAGATACTGGAACTTGACCCAATCGTTCGCGCAGTTCTGGGGAGTTGCGTTCGATATCGTCGTCCTCGGCAGACTCGTACAATATGAGATAGATACATTCCGTCCTCGCCGGAATGTTTTCCTGATCTACAATCAATCTCGAAACTGGAGCATTATGTTCAATCCAACCAGACGCGAGCTCGCGGCAAGCGCCCGTGCCAACGTCACCCATGATGGCGGAAACCTGGCACTCGAACTGCAACCTGGCATTGGAGTCAAGGTCTGCTTGAAGTGTAATCTCCATGCGCCCTAGAAATCTTTCTGCTTTTTTTGGAACAGATCCCTGGACTCGGGGAAGCATCATCGAGCGGTTCGCAATGTTATGTGTGACCAGAGGCGCCAATCTTGTAAACCCGACTGATTCCTGAAAAGACCTCCATGACAGGGGGTTGTCCCAGAGGATCAACACACAAACATTCCGTCTCTCGCGCGCCCATTTTACGTCAAAGCAACCTGGAATAGTGCCCACATACTCCATAGATGCCTTGAATAATTTGCCAGGCGCTGTTGCGCCATCAGACACATCCACGCCCTCTGAGAGCTCAAGGTTGAGGACGCTCAGTACACGCCCATCAGGACAGTTCTCGGCCATGATTTTATTCCAACACACGTTATTCAACGCGGGGCCATACTATGGTGAAGACTCCATAGTATCTCGCTGAGCAAAATTCTTCCTCTGGGCTCTACGTTGAGCTTCAACAGCAGCGGCCTGGTCAAAGTTGTTCATCGTTTCCTTCGTTGCGCCCTCGGCCACAGATGGCTGAATTTCACGTCAATGATGAAAAAAGCTTAATGCAATTGATAAAAATCCACAGATTTAGGAGATGGAGATGGAAAGCATGGAAAGCGAGTTGGTTGCAAGAGAAATCAATTGAGGCTAGATATGAATACCAGATGAAAAGTGCTCGTAGCACTCGCTACTGCTTGTGGCCAGGTGGAACAGGCCCTAGAGCTAGGGCTAGTAGCGCTCTGATGTCTGGTAAACGCCACCTGCAGCAGCAGCACCTTAGACATTTTTGCCCCCTACTCTTCCATGTCATTGAGAGCAAAGCTGGTGACCGTGACGGCTGCTTTTCTTATCATCGCCTCCTTCTTCGGTAACGCGAATTTCCTCCGTCGAGTTTGGACGCTGTCTTCTCCTTCACCGCCCTTCGGTGAGTTTCGCCCTCGTGTCGCTGCTATCCCATTCTGCTTCTTTCCGGTCTGGCAGACCCTGCGTGAATAGTAATATCAGTAAGAATCCAGCTAACCGCATTTCTATCGGAAACCAGTCCATCTCGGACTAGACATGGCAGAACTACATGCTCGGCTGGCCCGACTCAGCCCAACCATCGAGCGACTCATGTCCATCGGCGGAACGCCTGGCCTCGCTCTCGGCGTAGTCTGCTTGGACAAGCCAGTTTACTACGCCAATTACGGCTTTCGGGACGTAGATAGACAACTCCCGGTTACACAGGATACCATCTTTCCCGTCTGCTCCCTTGCCAAAGCAGTCACATCTGCTGCCATGGGCCTACTCGTCGACGGCAAAAAGGCCACATGGGATAGCCTAATCCGCAACGTTCTGCCCGCGTTTCAATCAACTAGTCCGATGCTACAGGAAAATACCACTCTAGGCGATATCCTTTCTCACCGCACAGGCATGGGCTGGGCCGATAATCTGATCCTTGGCACCGACGGCGATGTTCTTCTCCCGGGCAACGACTTGATCAAGTTTGTGAACCAACTACCCCTCCAGTGCCCCTTCCGCGCCGAGTTTGGCTACAACAACTTGCACTATGAGCTTGCAGGGCGCGTCATAGAGCATCTAAGCGGCCAGTCTTACGCCGACTTTGTCCAGGATCGCCTCTTCAAACCTCTTGGAATGGATCGCACTGTAGTCAGCACTCCATCGGCTGACCTTGATCCTATCACTATCAACTACAACGCCCTTGACGATGCAACCCCTGCTCCGATCAAGTTTCTTGGTATGGGCGACAACGGATATGGAGGTCCTAGTGGTGGCCTGCGGTCTACCGTCGAGGATCTCGCCAAGTTTTATAGCGCTTTTCTTCAAGGCATCGACAGTCAATTTGAGGACGGGGGTCCTTCATCGGGAACCTCCATTCTCAAGCAACTCCCGCAGATCATGTCAGCTAAGATAGCTATTGACCAGCCGTCAAAGCACGAATCTGCCTACGCCTTTGGGTGGGCCAGAGTGCAGCTTCCTGGCCGCATGGGTCAGATTGGGCTGAACCCAGGCCTTTTGCCCGATGGCATGCCCCTTGTTGGCAAAGGTACTTCCCAGCTTGTCATTTATCATCAGGGGAGCCTTCCCGGATCCCTCGCCCTGGCGGCCTTGCTTCCCGAACTTAACAGTGCCGTCATTGTACTTACTAACTCGCTAGCTCTAAATGACGTGGCAGACTGGGTAGGGCAGCTTGTGATTGAAGAACTTATTAACGTGACTTCTAATCTCAAAAATGACTTTGTCAGCCTAGCCGAGAAGGCAGTCGCTAAGAATCTTGAATGGTATCCCTTCGTTGTCGAAGACCTGAAGAAGGGCCAAAAGTCAGACACGCAGCCCAGGCCTTTGGAGCAGTACGTCGGCACATACTGGGATAAGCAGCATATTTTCAAGATAGAGGTGGTGCACGACAGTGGTACTCTCTACTGGCTTATCCAAGGTCTCGAGAATGAAAAGTTTACACTCGAGCACTATCACGACAACGTTTTTACCTGGCTTCGCCCGCGCAATGAGCTCTCGAAGCGCGGACGATGGGTTGGGTGGGACCAGGAGGCCATATTTTGGAAAGTTGAATTTGGAGTTAGCGATGATGAGAGTGTAAATAGCTTGACCTGGGCGCATGACAGCGGTGTACCAGCAGTAACATACATAAAGGTATGAAGGAATTAAACACTAAGTTCTTTAGCTATATCAATCTACCTATACACTAAAGCTAGTTAATTTTTAATTCTAGTTATTATTATAAGCTTACATCTAATAATATAATAAACTAGACTAGTAGTAAGGGATTAAGAGTAGATTATAAGGCTTAAAGTGGGTAGTAAAGTAGTAAGTAAAGGTTTATACTTCTAAGATGCTTAGGGGCGCGAGCCGCAAAAGGGCCCGCGAGACCTTGCAAGTCGTAATACCAGAGGATGAAGACATGCCTGGTTTGTTTCTCTGGTCCCTTTTTTCCCGTCCGGTTGCTTGATGTCGAGATGGATAAGAATATACAAAGCGTATGCTGTTAAAGTGACGGAAGCGGGAATATGCAAAGCTTATGCTAAGTGTAACGAGTAATAAACAGGAAATTTGCTCGACCAACCCGCGGCAAGTCGTCTACGAGCGCGTACCACCATGGATATGAGAATGGGGGGCGTTCATGAACCATCATGCCTTCCGAGTAGCTTAGTTTCGGTCCTAGATTCATCTCAGCGATTCCCGACGGTCGACACGCCTCGCAGGGAAGCGGGCCAGGAGAGCGGCCTTCTGGTGGCGGATCTTACTTAACCATCTCCGTCGTTTCGGCACGGACTTGCCAAATGGAAACATTGCACTGCTCGCCTCCCATCACATCGCCCGCCGATGATTATAAATTCCATTTCCAGCCATTGTTTACCTGCGCGTTCGGCGCTCTGCTGTTCGGCGTTTCGGTACAGGTGTGGGTCACGTCGGCCTAGCTGTGGGTTGGTGGGTCTACCAAGTACTCAACCTCAGCTACCCTATACATGAAATCACAAATTTGCAAACTGAACAACTTGGGATAATACGACTCGATTCGAAATAAGACGATGCAAATAATTCAAAGTAAATGGTATGGCTGGGATAGTAGTGGCAACGTGGCAGCCTCAAAAAAGGGCAGCGTTGCTGGGATATTGGGATTTGACCTGCTAATACGCATCTCATCTTTCCTGCTTCCGGGGCGGAAGGCTAGAACAAGTGTGTCCAGCGTGCACTTTGCGAAGATATCGTGGACTTTGTTTCTTTCCGCTCAAAGATGAAAATACTACAAATAGAAGTGAATAGATGATTTTTATGCCAGCCCGCTGTTTCGCTTATGCTCAGGACTAGATCCATCGCTTTCCTTCTCTACTGCCGTGACCGTAGATACAGGCGTCGTGCTGGAGATCTGGTCATAGTACGCAATGTCAGCAGCTAAGGTAAAGAAGAAAAAGAAACCGAGAATAAAGGAACAAGCGAGAAGAGCAGCAGTGAGGAAAGATAGCAACAACAGGTAGCTCGTAAGATAAAGAGGCAACTCGTCAAATGAATATATGACTACAAAATGAAGGGCGACTACAAATGAAGGGTGACTACAAAATAAAGGGCGACTCTCAAAAACAAAACCGGCGAGTCAAGCACTTACGTAAGATTCAACTTCAACGCCGTACAGAAACAAAGCCAGCATGCCAGCCGTGCCAAAAAAGACACCCAAGGCCGCCGCCATCTGTACCAGGTCGGCCGTTCCCACCGGCACCACGACCCTCTTGTCCGGCTCGGCGCCGTCATACCACGCCTCGCAGTCCAGGTAGTACGACAGCGTCGTGTTACGATCACCAGCAAACGTAAAGTCAATCTGCGCGCAGGCCCGCATCGTCCAGTAGCCGCCCAGCATAACCATAATGCTGATGCCCAGCAGCAGGATCAGGCGCAGCGTGATGATGGAGCCCGCGTAGAACCAGGCTCGCAGCATCCACGCCAGGTGCAGCATGACGCGCTTCTGCCGGATGCGCGTGACGGCCATGGCCAGCGCGAACAGGAACATGATGCCCGGGAGGCAGACGTAGGCGTGCGTCTCCGGCTCGCCGCCCTGGCTGTCGCGGGATCATGAAAGCACCGGCCGTCGAGGGGATTGACAGGAGGAGAATCGCGTAGCCGTTGAGACGATAGGCCAGGATCACGCAGTGCCGGATGACGGGCACGAACTGGAAGCACACGAGCAAAGCCGCGGGCAGGACGCAGAACAGGTGCAGCCGGATGCCCATGAACCCGGGCCGGCCGCGCTGGTAGTGGTAGCACTCGCCCAGCACCGTCGACAGCAGCGGCGTAATCTTATCGAGCGGCGCGCAGAACGTGCCGGCTACGTCCAAGAATGCCAGGCGAGCGAGCGTGAAGCCCAGCAGACCACCGGTGAAGCGAACCATAGCTTTAGTTGTAGCCTTTTATGAAGCCGACTTTGTGGAAGACCTAGCTGAAATTAGATAGTGGCGATTAATTCATCGTCCTGGATTTATGCAACATGGTGCTGAATGGTCTCTTAATCGCTACGTCTCTAGTGCGAGAAGCTGATCCAGAGGGAGAAGAAGAAGAAAAAAAAAAAGAGAGCGACAGTCTAGTACTAAGAGACTTAGTAGACATTTATAATCGGCATTTCAGCTTCAGCCCCCTGGTAGATGGTACTCGGAAGCGTTTTCACTACTACAAAGCAGCTGCAGAGTACCAGCCCACGCTGAGCGAAGCGAGGGAAAAAAAAAAGGCCTAGCGCAGCGGTCATTCCCAAAGAAGAAGAGATCCTCCTCCCTTTTCGTAATGACCGCTGCACTAGGCCTTTCTTTTTCCTCGCTCCGTTCGACGCTGCTGATGTGCGGGCGTGAGACGCCGAACAGAGTCGTTTCGGCAGCGACCATTCTGCTGCCAGATTCGGTTGTCTTGTTGCAGAAGCTAGGAGTTTCTGGACGAGTTTGCTAGCGCGACGAGTAGAAAATGCTCTAAATTGAATGAATATCCGGAGACGACATGACACATGGCACGCCGAAACAGTCACCGACAAGCTAGCAATATCAGGTACATCATCTATTTACCATCTATTGCAGTGTGATACAATGGGTGCAAAAATTAGATACCAATCCAAGGCAGGTTTTGTCGAAAAGCAAATCAACCCTCCCAAAGCGGCAGCTCGCGTCTGTCAGCTCCCTCGGTGGTAAGACAGACCCCTTCCACCGTAGAGTGTGAATAACCAACCGCGCGAGCTTAGCTGGCGTCGGACGTGGCTTCAGCTTTTCCATTCTCGACATCGCCGGGCCCAATCTTCTTCTCTTCCTCCAGGCCAAACTCCGTCTCCAGCGTCTCCCGCAGCTTCAGGTTTTTCTCGCACCACGCGAGCAGGAAGCCCAGCAGGCAAAACGCCAGCCCGACATACCACGCCGTGCGCATGCTGTCGGAGAAGACGCCGGTAATCTGCTCCAGGACCTGGTCGCTGAACTTGCGGTCGTGGGGGTTGGAGAAGGTCACGAACTCGTAGGCGCCGCCGCGGCCGAGGATCGCGCGGACGTCCGGGTCGCTGACCTGCGCCGCTAGCGACCTGCTGCGGCTGTTGAAGACGGCGGCGGGTACCGAGACGCCCCAGATGGCGCCATACGCGCGCATAAAGTCATAGGCGGCCGTGGACAGAGCGGTATCCTCATCGGTCAGGTCGGCCTGCACGCCGGGCAGGCCCGAGGTGGCGAGGCAGCCGATGCCGATGGCGAAGATGAGCTCGATGCAGATGTACTCGGCTCGGGAGGTATCACGGTTAAAGTGAGAAAAAAGGCCCATACCAACGGCCTTGAGCACGAACGCGGCCACGTGCAGCATCTTGAAGCGGCCCGTCTTGGACATGATGACGCCGGCGACGATGCCGACAAAGACGGAGAGCGTGGAGATGGGCAGGAAGCTGACGCCACTCTGCAGAGGGGTCTGGCCCTTGACGCCCTGAAAGTAGATGGGCAGGCCGAGGATGCTGTAGTACATGGTGAAGAACTGCAGAAAGGCGATGAGGAGGGCGGCGGCGGGCGTGCGGCGCTTGAAGAGGCGCTCGGGCAGGATGGGCGCCTTGACCCAGGGCATCATCTCGTAGAGGTGGAAGACAACGAGACCGAGTATCCCCAGGAGGAAGGGCACCAGGACCTGGTACGAGCTCCAGGGATACCGGGCGCCGCCCCACGAGAGGGCAATCAGGACGGAGACGACGGCCAGGGTCAGGAGGATGTTGCCCGCCCAGTCGATTCTCTTGAGCTTGTCCCTGAACGAGCCCTCGTCCTTGTACTTGAGCTTGAGGAACAAGAAGTTGAGGACGAGCGTCAGGCCGGCGACCGGGAGGTTGATGTAGAAGATCCAGCGCCAGCTCGTGCGCTGCACGATGGCGCCGCCGATGACGGGGCCGGTCGCGGTGCCGACCATGAAGAACAGCAGGACGTAGCCCATGTAGGTGCCGCGCTCGCGGAGGGCCACCAGGTCGCAGACGATGACCTGCAGCAGGAAGCTGATGCCGCCGCCGCCGATGCCCTGGACGGCGCGGCCCGCGATGAGCATGGCGAGGTTGCTCGCGCCGCCGGCGAGGCCGCTGCCGAGGGCAAACAGGCTGATGGCGCCGAGCATGGCGTTGCGGCGGCCCCAGAGGTCGGCGGCCTGTCCGGTGAGGGGGATAAAGGTGCAGCTTAAACGATTAGATACAGATTAGCTACTGTTACTCGCCAAGGGGAGCGTAACGGTGAGCGGAGGGGGGTAGGGAGGGAGGACGAACCTGGTGAGAAGATAGACATTGAGGATCCAGATGTACGAGTCGCCGGCGCTAATCTCGCGCGTGATGACGGGCAGCGCCGTGGACACGACGGTGCTCTCGACGGCGACCAGCCAGGTGGCCAGGCACAGGGAGCCAAAGACGGCCCAGAAACGCCAGCTCTTCCTTGCGGCAGGGGGCGGTGCGGCGATCGCCTCTGCCTCCTTGCTCTCAGCCGCAGCGGGTTCGTAGATGGCTGCTGCTGCTGCAGGATCAGGATCGTTTGCCGACGAGGCGTCCGTGGGGGTTGTTGTTTCGTGCTTGTCCGCCATGGTGGATGCGGGATCGTAGAACCCTGTGTTGGGAAGAACAAGCCTGATGTTTGCAGGAAGAAGGGAGTAAAAAAAAACACGCAATGAAGAAAAGGACGAATTTGACGAGAGATGGAAAGAAAGACGGACTGCTCAAAAGATGGGCGAAATAAAAAGAGCTCGGCCAGGCTTGGCAATGGTGTCAGGCTGGGATCACGTCCCAAAGGGGTAATCAGATCGCCGAACTGTGGGGGCCGGAAGTGATCCGCGGGAAGCCACTCCGAAGTCGACCATTTACGTAGCTCAGCTCCTTGGAGTGTACTATTGCAGGCTGTAACAATGCCGGCTTTGACAAAACAAAAAAAAAGGGAAAAAAAGAGAGCCTGAGACGATGTGACGTAGGCTAGGAAGCGAAACACCGTCTGTTTGTCAGCCATTCCTCGTGCACCGTGCCGATGCTTATCAAGCTGCAATGCCTGTTTCTGATTTTGGACGACGTCCAATACCCAATTCGTCATCAAAGTAACCAAAAGCCCACGTCGAGCGAAGCGAGGAAAAAAAAAAGCCTAGCGCAGCGGTTATCTCGCTTCACTTGCTCTTACATACACATCACTTGCCGCGATCAAGTCGTAGCTTTCGGCGAGAACCGCTTTGCTTTTTACAATTTTATGTGATGATGTTTGTAGCTTTCGGCGTCGATGCATGGATTCGCACTTTAGCGCAGAAAGTAATTACCAGAATCCGAATTTGCGGCCCTACACCGAAGTGGGTTGATTGAAGGACCACACGCTTTCCGTAGCAATAACAACAGAGGTGCCCTTGATCGGTCAATAAATGGCAACAAAGCTGCCCAGGTTAAATCATATCCCCATGCTCTGCTCTCGATAAACACTTGTATTTGAAAGTTATACCCATCACCTCGTTCACGGGTTACCGCTGCGCTCGGCCTTTTTTTTCTCCTCGCTTCGCTCGACGTGGGCTGGTACGCTACTCTGCTTGTTCTTGGGTGAGATTGTATTTGCGTGTACATGGATGGCAGGAATTGTGGGTCTGCGGAATGTCGGGGTGAAGGCTAGTAAGGGCTTATTTCAAGAGGATAGGTGCTTGTTAATAACGCAAATGGAAATACGACGAGGATGGGATAAAAACGGTGGGGATGGCTGAGCACGGGAAAGCAGCTAAATCGTCGGTGAACCGTTATTTGATCCTGTCTTGTCAATTATGTGAACGGATTTGCTGGATACAAAGCACGCAAGGCGCTGATCCGTCCCAACTAGCCAATGGCACTTTAACCCTCCCCTCCTCCACCATCGCCATTTGCTCACAACACTCGACACCCTTTCCCAGCCTTGCGTTTGCATCATCCCGTCCATCACCTAGAGAGTATGATCTGACAGCCCTCAAAGATTTGACGACGCTCCCTTCCTCTCAACACCACCTCACGCGCTCGTCCCGCATCGCAGCGCTTCCCGCCGCGGGGTCAGCGCCACCAAACGATGAGCTCACGACTCGGGCGCTACCGGCGATCCTGCGATCGGTGCCACGACCAGAAGCTGCGCTGCAGACGGGACGACGGTGCGGCCGTCTGCGAGCGATGCGTCCGCGCCAAGAGCAAGTGCACCTTTACCGCCATCACGCGCGCGAAACCGCCCGTGCCGGCGTTTGTGCACTCGGGCTACGCCGACATGGTCGCGGCGCCTGCGATGATGCCGCAGACGGATTGTGGTAAGACTTGTTCCAAGCGTGCTGGGCGAAATGTTACTTGCTGGGCGAATACTCCTTGCTGTTTGGGACTCGACTGACCGAAGGTTGACGAAGAGTACACGCCGACTTCACCACCTGTCAATGCTGCCGCTGCTGCGACGTCTCGAGATCAAGAGCCCGCCTCGTTCGACTTTCTGCTTCAGCTGTCCGCTGCCTCCTCCTGTCCGCCCCCGGGCTCGGCCGAGATGGAGTGGGATGACTTTCTCGACCCGACGGCGAGCGCGCAGAGCACCATCACCGACGACAGGACGCTCGCCGGCGCGACGACGGCCTACGAGTTCTCCCCGCTGACCGAGGCCGACCTGCACGCCAAGCCGTTTGCGCCGGCATCATCACCGCCTCGCTGCGACCCCGATACCGAGACTCGACGGAGGAGCGATTCCGCGCTCGACGATCCGACGACGACGACGACGACTTGCTCCGGTTCCGATTCCCGCCTCGCCGCGGAGCGCCTCGTCCCCGTGCTGTCCACGCTCAGCATGGAGCTCCACGAGTTCGCCCTGACCATCCCGTCGGTCGGGTCGTGCGTTGACGCGCGGGGGCGGTACACGCCGCTGGACAACCGTGAGGTGGCGCTCGACCGCATGCTCAAGCTGTCGCAGCGCTTCATCGAGATTCTCAACCAGCTGCACGACGCTGTGCGGGCGACCTCTCCCAGACACGAGAGTGGCGGCTACTCGAGATCCAGCCTGTCTCAACCCTACGCGGGCACTTCCACCCCGGTCTCGGTAGTAATAGACCAACCAGGCGAGCTACTGCTCCTGTCCTGCTACACGCGCATCGTGCTGACGTACCACTCTTTTCTCGAGCACGTCGAGGAGTGCGCCAAGGTGCACATGCGCGTGCCGGACTACTCGCGGGGAGGAGGAGGAGGAGGAGGAGGAGGAGGACAGAAGTACACGCTGCCGTCGCTGAGGGTCGGCAGCTTCACCATGGAGTCGACCACGTCGATGCACGTCTCGCTCCTGGTGCACATGATCGAGGCCATGATGACGCGCGCGCGGGCGCTGATGCAGGGGGTCCTACGCGTGTGCGCCGCGGCACCGCCCGGGATGGGGACGAGGCAGTGGGATGACGCCGGCGCGCGGCCTGAGCAGTCGGCCGCGCAGTCGGCGCTGGACGGGTTCCGGCCGCAGGAGGAGCGCACGCTGGACCTACTGACGCAAATCCGGCGGGTCCTGTTCGACGTGGCCAAGGTGCAGTGGAGTAATGGGATATGACGGCCGCTATGCATGCATTTTACGTTGTTGTTTCTTTTCTGCCATATATAACGTCTTGATTTACCTGCTAACGCGTTATTTAGCTCTGATATATTACGCTCCCTTAGAGTATCGTATGCTATTCTTTTATATTATCTTATATACATTTTATAATAAACTAAGTATATTTTCTTCTTCTTATAATTTTTCCCTATATAATAGCAGCCTTAGAGTTACTAATTATAGTAAGATATTAAAGAAGTTAAGTTATAGCCTTACTAGTATTAAATAGTACTTAAAAAAAATAAGGCTATAGCTACTACTAGTATAGTACTTAGGATTTAGTATAAAATAGCGCTTCTTATTATACTAGAATAGACTAACCTATTCTAGAATAGAGTGGTAGTTATGTAGATAGCCTATCTAGCATTCTAAGTTGGTCTGGCTAGCAGCTCTCTTCTTTTATTGAACTCTGTCCCTTCCTACCTGGCTATCTGTTGAAAAGGCTCTCGATAGAATCTCGTCTTCCCAGGCAGCTGTTGAAACCTGCCCAGTCTTGAACCGACCAACTCATACTTTGGCCAGTCCCTCTCACATCATCCACCATCGTCTATGTTTATAGATCCACCGCATACCTTCTCACGCCGCACTCTTCTTATACACATCGCCAGCCATCTGAAGACTCCTGAATCCGAAAACAATCCCCTCTAGGCCTGCTGGCACGCTCGATTCATGGTGAGTCGCGTACATGCCGGTCAAGGCGGACCCGGTGCGGTTAACCGACAGCGGCATCTCGGCTCTGACGGCCTTTCCGTATGGGCCGTGCACCGTGCCCTTGTTGGTGGTGAAGGTAAGCTTGCCTAGCTTATGGCCGTAGACGACGTCGATGTTCTTAATGTACTCGTCCGCCGCCAGCTTGATAACCTGCTCCTCCTCCTGAATATAGTTCTTATGAATGCACTCGCCATACCGCCTTAGCTGCTCGTTCTCATACTACACCTAGCTATTATTCTATATATCGATACTAGGAGGTAATATTTTATTATAGTAGAGAGAAAGACCTATAAAAAAAAACTTATTTACTACTAATAATAAGTAGCTAAGATACTATTAATATTTAGAAAAAAACTATAATTTAATAACTTAGAATAATAAAAGAATTTTTAATAAAGAATATATATAAATAAAAGTTTATAATAAAAAAATTAACTCTTTACTAAATATATTAAAAAAGTTAAAACTATTTTAAGATTATAACCTTTTTACTTAAAGTTAGAAATATTATTATTATTAAAAAGGAATTATTAATAAGGTTAATATTAGAAAATATTATTAAGGTTAAAAAGACTTAATTATTAAATAAAAAAAACTAAAAATAAAAATATATTTAATTACTAAGTATATTTCTAACTAAATAAATTAAAGATTTTATTAAATATTAATAATAAGTAATATAATTAAATAAACTACTATTATTAATTATAATTACTTTATAATATAAAATATATTATTATTAATATATAATACTAAATTATTATTTATAAAATCTATAAGATTACTATTCTTAATAGTAAAGTCTATTAGTACTTTTATTAACTACTTTATTTTTTTAATATATTTATATATTAAAAACTAAAAGTATAGGTAATTAAATAACTAGTTCTTTAATATAGTAATTAAGTCTAAGTAAAGTTTTATATCCTATTCTTTATTATAAATAGGGGGTTTACTATATTCTATTCTTATATATTATATATAGAAAATTAGGTCTATATCTATTAGTATATAGTCTATTTAAAGATCTAGTAATAAATAGAAGGTATAGTAAAAGGCTACTAAAATAAATTTTAATATAATATATATAATATAAGAATAGAATATATATATTAAGACTCTTTATAAATTTATAGTATTTATATAGAATAAGATAATAAGGTAATAATATTATAGGTATTATTAAGAATACTTTACTATTAGTAATTAAATAGGCTAACTATAACTTATACTTTAATAATTACTATTATTAAAAAGCTATATTTATATAGACTATAGTATTAATTCTACTTAATTTAATAAGCTATATATTAACTAATTAGGCTTAACTTAATATATAGATATTTAATATATTATAAGTAGTAATACCTAATTAAGGCTAAACTAGACTATAGCCTTTATACTATCTTACCTATATTATTACTATATACTATAAAAGTAAAATAATAAATCTCTACTAGTTAGAAAGCTATTATATATTATTAATAATTTTATACTATTTAATTATTATTACTAAGGTATATAATATATAATAAATAAAAGGATAATTATTTAGATATAATATAATAATAAGTATATTAATTTATAAAGAGAGTCTTATAAATATTCTATTTATATTACTACTAACTAGGTATAAAAGGGGTATATAGAATAGTCTATCTAGATAACCTTAATACTTAAGGTATTAATTAATAAAAGGAGAGTTCTAAATAGTTTATTAACTATATATATAGGTAAGGTTAGATAGATAGTTAGGTATAGTCTTACTACCTATACTAAGTTAATAATATAACTTATACTAAAGAAGGAATAGTAAACTATTTATTAACTATAAGTATATTAATAGTAAATAGGTTATTAAAAAGGGTCTAGCTAACTAATATATATACCTAGTTTACTAAATAGTTATTAATAGTCTATCTTCTAGACCTAGGGTTAGGTAATAGACTAGAATACCTTATTAAAATATATTAAATAGGCTAGCTTTAAGGTTATTAATAATCTCTATCTATATAGTATAGCCCCTTTTTATATACTATTTAGAATAATCTATTTACTATTATTTATTATAGCTATACTTATAAAACTATATTAACTTTTATTATTATATACCCTTTTATATATTTAAAGTAAGTTAAACTACTTATATATATTAAATATTAAAGTAATTATATAGAAGATAAGGTTAATAGCTACCTTTAATACTAATATAAAGAATTCTTTACTAAGTAATATAAAGAAATCCTTATAGTAATATAGTAGTATATAAAAGTAATATAAAGTTAATCTTAGGTTACTACTATAACTAGACCTAACCTATACTCTTAACCTCTTAAATAGCTTAAACTACTATATACTAATAGCCTACTTTACTTACTATATAGATTTATTATTACCTTAAAGTATATTATATAAAAGTATTTTAAGTAAAAGTATTAATAGGTTAACCCTTATATTTATAGTAATTAAAAGACTAAGTTATTAGTATTAAAAGATATACTTATATTACTATAAGCTATTAAGATTAAATACTAGTACTTCTTTAATAGCTATATAGGATATTAATAGTTCTAGGTTAGTAAAGATAATAAAGACTATTATCCCTAGCTTAAGTATATTAAGGTTATTTTTAACCTTAAGGCCTTTTAGTATATAGTTAATAAGCTAGTATTAAGTATAGTAAAGATATATAGAGATTAGGAGGGACTAAATAGCTAGCTAAAAAGGACTAACTAAGTATTATACTTTACTAGTTATAAAAAGAAATAGCTTTTTTAACTCTAATATTTACTAAAAGGCTATAAATAACTAGCTAATATTATTATTAAGTAGGCTAATATTATTATATATAATACTAAAAACCTCTTTAATATAAATATTATTAGTCTAATAGCTTTCTTTAAGGCTAATAAGGTAGGTAGTTTAAGTAAACCTTATAAGCCTTTTATAAAAGATAATAAGTAAAAGACCTTTAATAGGTATTAAGTAGTATTTATCTATATTATTATAGTACTAGTCTAGATACTATAAGTAATAGACCTTAAACCTAGTACTATTATATTAATAGTAGATTAAAAAGCTATATAGAAAGGTCTTTAATAGTATAATAAGTACTACCTATATTAAAAGTAAGATAGTATTAATAATATAGAATAGGTAAAGAAATAGACCTACTTATAAATATAATCTTTTATTTCTTATAAGTTATAAGGAAGTAAAATAACTAATAGACTCCTAGCTACCTTTAAAGCTACTATTATAAGAAAGGATAAGGTATAAGAATCCGCCTAAGATAGTATACTATATATCTCTACTATTATATAAATATACTATACTATTACTATATAGTAATACTACTTTAAATATTAAGAATTAATAAAAAGATTAAATAAAGAAGATAAGTATAACCTTAATATAGTATTATCTATCTTTAGTATTATTTATAATAGGGTTTACTAGTATATAGTATATATTAGTAATAATAATAATATATAGCTAATACCTATAGACTAGCTTCTTAATACCTATATATATAGCTTTAAGGTTAACTATATAACCCCTAAAGATATATATATCTAGTAGGATAGCTAGTTTATTAACTATAAGTATATATTAATCTATATAAATAACCTTAGTAATATAATTATAGTAGTAGTTAAAGAGGTAAGAGTAATACTTATATATATAACCCTATACTAAAGTAATAGGCTAGTAAAGCTACTATATATATTATAATAGATTATTATAGATAATATTAGCTATAAGACTATAGGGTATAACTTCCTTTAAGATAAATATAATAACTAAGTAAGGTTAAAAGAAGACTAGATACTTAATAAGCTAGGAGTCTTAAGTAGGGAGAGTAAGTAATAGTTTATAGCCTTATTAGAGATTAATAATACTATTACTATATAATAAAAGGTATATACTAACCTTATATAAGAAAAGCTTTTAGTACTTATATATATAATATCTATACCTATATATAGTATTAAGCTTATAGGTATTTAATATACTAATATACCTAATAGTAGGCTATATAATATTATAGTTATAAATAAGATAATAACCTTTATACTAGTATATTATAAAGAGTATAAGTAAAGTAATAAGGCTAAAATTATATACTATTTCCTTCTTAAAGAGGTTAGTAAGATACTAATATAGTACCTTTAGATTATATTACCTTTCTAGTAGGCTATTAAATCTAAAGGCCTTTAAGACTAGGGTCCTACTATCCTTAGTGTATTTCTTTAGTCTAAGGAAGTAGTTAAATACCTTACTAAGATACTAGAAGGTAAGTTAAAAATAAATAGGTATACTATATAGGAAGAAGGTAGATAGCTTCTAGACTATCTCTACTAGGCCCTTACTAACTATAGTAAGTACTATACTAAATAGTATATAACTTTAAAAGACTAATATTAAATAGTTAAGTTTATTATTAACTAATATATTAAAAAATAAGCTAGTATTATATATAAAAGATAATTATTTAATAAGGTAATAAAGTTAGATAAAGAGTCTAAAGATAACCTAATTAATATATAGGCTAGTTATATATTTTATATTATTAATCTTATATATAAGTATAAGGTTATATTTAGTTACTTAGGGCTTTAGAATAAGGTAAAGTAGTATTATAGTATTAATACTAACTAGTATATATTTCTTAGGTTTAGGGTACCTTACTATAATATATTAAGAATATAAAAACCTATACTAATAGATTATATATATAAGGAAGCTACCCTTAAGTAATTATAATACCTTTATTAGTTTAATATTACTATATAGTTTAAAGTAGTCTTAGATAAGGGCGCCTAGCTTTATAGCTAGTAGGGAGTAGTATTAAAGGCCCTTAAGATAGGTAGGATACCTATTCTTTATATTATTAATATAGGGGAAGGTAAGAGTATTATATTTATACTCCTTACTATATATATACCCTAGGGTATTAATATTATAATTATATTATTACTCTTCTTAAAGAAGGATTTATAATAATATTATATTAAGGCTAGTATTAATACTAGTATTTAGTAGGCTAGTTAGTAGAACTATCTAAGTAGTATTATCCTTATTATACCTAAGAGTACTATTACCTTAAGGTTTAATACCTTTATCTAGTAAATACTAAGTAGGGGGGATCTTAACTATATTATTATTAATAAGTATTATATTATATTAAATATAAGGAAACC